GGAAATAGTCATTTTTGCCTCATAATGTGCCAAAAAAGAGTTTTGCAGTTGAGTTTTTGTTGTAAGATATCATTTGGAGAGAGCAGAAAAGTGGACTACAGGTAACTATTAAGAGTTGTTTTTCCATGGGATTTCTGTTCTCAAAGATGTTGTTTCTGAAGATAACACATCCTAGAATTGTAGATTTCTAAAATGGAAAAGGACATTAACAATTTTCTAGCCCATCCCTCTCATTTGTGAGAATAAAATGAAGCCCTGAATGGTCCAATGACTTATTGAAGGTCATGTAATTTGTTGCCAAGGCAAAGCTTCTAGAACAGTGTCTTTTATTGGCCAGAATTCTAAAATGCAAGTTTTCCATTTTATTTGTAACATTATATTATACTCTCAATCTTACTTCTTTTTAAAACATGGGAATTGAACACAATGTTATGAATAAAAATTACTAAGTTCATCTTTCTTGTTTATTTTTAAGCTAGAAAATCAAATGTAAAGCACTTATGATGAATTTTTCAAAGGAATAGATATTACAGATTTGGGGCCCAAGTCTCCTTTAGACCCCCAAATATATGGTTTCTTCAACCTTAACTGGACAGAAAATATGTTGAAATTATTATTTCCATAAAAGGAACATTTGACAATTTTAAAAGCATTTATTTTGGGGGCGAGAGAGTTTATTTCCCCAAATAACAAGATAGTTGTAGCCATCTTGTTTCAATAATTATAACTCAGCAAGCACAAAGAATGAGGACTATAAAACTGTTTCTCTAAATGAGAAGCTGGAGCACAAGTGGTAGGGAGTGAAAAAATAAATCTTAAAAACTCAAATGACAAGTTCCTTCTGGCTAGAGACTAAGACAAAGGAAACCACATAACCCCAGATTGTGCAATCTATAAAGACAGAGTGATAAAGTGAGCTACGTAAAGAGAGACAACGTGCTCTGGGACTTACAAATGAACACCTTCATGTGAGGGAAAGGAAAGATTTAAGGAAAGGCTGTCAAAATGAATTTTGAGAAGTTCTCCATGATAATTTTAATGAATCTACATTTCAGCTCTCTGTGTTCTTGCTCAACTCCCTCCATTTATAGCTCAGACAGACTCAGCACCTGCCAGCCATGCCCAGGAGTTCCTGATGTCCCAGCCTAGTGCCTCAGCCTCTGAGCTGCAAAAGTCCCTTGCTTGACAGGGGTTAACCATATCCGGAAAGCTCTGGAAGAGGTCTGCTTGGTGGCAGGTCTGCTGCTCTTGATATGAGGCATCTTGTTGGACTGGAGACCAGGAGCTGCGGGAAAGCCAGAAACAAGGCTCAGATGGGGATGGCAGCAAAGACCTCAGTTCTTACCACTGGTCTTAGTCTCTGGGGACTCAGAAAAGGAATAGGAGTTCTTCTCCCTTTTCTGTCAAACCCCACAGTTGGGAAAGAATGGACATCTCCCCCCAAAACCCCATTCCCAAGTAAATTTCATTTCCTTTTTCATCCTCAAGTAAAAAAATGAGTCACTAATTAATGCAATTCTGTAAGCATAATTGTAAGCCACCCTGTTGACCTGTAATGATGTGTTTTACCTTTACTTACCGGGAGAGAATGAACAACTTGGAAGTTTGAGCAACTCGAAGAAAAACTACAAATTATAGTCCCTCCCGTCATGCACACCACTCCCAGCCCGTTCTACCTAAAAAGCCTTCACATTATGGATTTCATTTTGCATTTAAAAAAATCATTTAAAATTATGGTCGCAAAGAAAAAACTGGCAGTATTCCTTTCAGAGTGGTCTGAGAAATATTGCATCAACACATCTGAGGAAAATAAATAGAAACAACAAGATCTCTTTCAATTTTGTTTTTGAATCAATACCCAAAATAACGACCAGAAGCAAAAATCTACCGGTGCGTTAGCAAGCAGGATGCTCGGCCAGTCAGCTTCATCCTTCACCGCTGAGCTGTTCTGTGTGGGCCCCTGCCGCAGCTGCAGGCCACTAGAGCAGATAGATAATGTAGGAGAGGATGACCAGGCCTATGATGGCAAAGAACATCAGGATGAAGATATCCAGCATTATGGAGTCCTTGGCCGAGGAGGCCTCTGGATTCCAGGGAAATGTGAGCTGTGAGCACGGAGGTTGCAGCCAGTAGAGAGAAATGGCTCCCTCCCGCCTCCCTCCGCTGCCCAGCCCTCGTTTCCCCCCCCTCCTGCTTCCAAGGGGGAGACGGAGGGATGCTGCAGCTCCATCAACAGCTTACTTCCCTCCTCCCCACTCCCCCACCAACATACCACAGCCAACCAATCATAAAGCCAGGGAGCCGGTAACCAAGGAACTGCTCACTGAGACCAGGCAGAACTGAAGAGGCTCAATTTCTTCCCAGGAACCCAATCCCACCCGTTTGTATCTATCTAATGGAGTCTGCATGATATGGACTTAGGAGGAGATCTGATCGCTATCCAGATCCCCTAGGAATGAATCTTCCTGACTACCTTTCTTCTTCCTTTTCTCCTCACATGTCCCCAGCAAGTTATCTCAGAAAAATAGTGGCTGGGAGTTGGGTGAACCATTGGCAAGTTGGAAGGGTCCTGTTTTGGAGCATCAGGGACAAGGGTCTCGTGTAAGTCTCGACTGGCATGTCTGGGATGGAGCTAACACTTAACGGGATTTCTAGACTGTAGCAGATATTGCACATGGTGTAATTTCAATCTTCCTACACGTCTTTTATAGATAAGGATCAGGTTGCCTGATGTTTCACTGGAAATGCAGAGACCAAGATTCAAAACTAAGCTTGCATGCACCGGAGTCCATACTGTTCTCTCCTGCCCAGACTGGCCCACCCTCCAAAGTCCAAAATGCCCCTCAGCCCCACCTGTGCTGCTCAAGTCGCGAGGCATTTTTGCTCAGGTCACCCTATTTATAGGGCGAGCACCAGAGGCCTCTCTTTCTCTATTCCTCATCTCTTTGTGGTCATTGCCAACATTCTTGTTCTCTTTTGTATCCTCTTCAGAGAGCTCCACATGGCATTACACCTAGAGAGGGCACCAAAGAATTTTCAGGCCCATCCCTGTGCAGGAAGTGTCTAGAAATGCAAAGGCAAGTGACTTCTTCTGAGGAGAAAGGAAAAAATTGACATTTCATTTTTTAAAGCTGGGTAGTGGGTACTCAGTTATATACTTTTTTATGTCTTTTTATGTCTTAATTATTTCCTAGTAAATTAAAAAATTTCCTCTATGACATCTCTATAGCCTAGTGTCCATGGCTCCATCCCCAAATAATTCTTTTGAAGGGCCTGGGGCGAAGAACTAGTACCCCCCCTCCTCATGCTAGTAGAAGGGGGTCTAGAAACTCCTCCCACTGGCCCGTCCCCAGGAGGCAGAGTGCTGGTCCCCTTCCAGGCAGGCTGGCTGTGCCCTCAGATTGCCCGGGTGAGTGGAGCCTGGGAATGCAGCCCCCAGAAGAAAGGGAGCAGGCCCACGGGAGGCAAGATTCGCCAACTCATCCCCTTCTAGTGGGAAAACGTTAGGCAGCCAGCTCCTTCAGGGGAGGGGCAGGTGTCAGTGTTGTCTTTAATTATCCCACCCAGTGACGCCTCTGACACGCCCCACGCCGCTCAGCCCTGCGACACACACGGCCTGTCATTCCCCTGACTATTACCATTCCCTGGGTTAGGAAAGCTCAGTTCAGGCTCAGTTCGGGGAAGCCCTTTTCTTCCCCACCCTGCTGTTACCCTGAAGCTAGAGAATGCCTCTGTGCTGAGCCCCCAGTGGGGAATGTTCTTCTCCACAAAACAGCCAGACTTGAGACTGACCGGTGGCGCTGAGCCAGGGCAGAAGGGTCTGGATTCCTTCTTTACCACTGCCCCTTCCCCAGCCTGACAGAAGGGAGGAGGCTGCCGGGCCTTTTAGTGAGCGGTTAGACCTAGGACGCCTGAAGCAAAGAAGAGGGCCCAGGAGAGGACAGAATGAGACATGCAACGGGCCTGGGTACACAGCCCACCCTAGCGAGGGAGCATGAGGCCATGAGCAGTGCACCGGGGTTCCTAAGACTTCCCGCCCAGCTGTGTGACCCCCACCAAACCACTGCCTTTCTGGTTTCAGTGAACCCTATCTGTAAGATGGACATTGCGGTAGTTACTTCTCTCACAGAGCTAATAAGATAAAATAAAAAACATGTGTTAAAGATTACATTCATCAGGCATCATGAGCACTGCTTCGGCTTGTCAGACCACCTAACAGAAGGCTTCATCTTTGTCTAATCCCCCTGCAGCCTGTCCCAGTCTCCCCAACATTTCATCCCTCTAGCATGTGCCGAGTCCCTACCAAGAGCAGGCTGGGCGCTAACACTGCCCACCTGCTGAGCTCATTCGTTAATTCGACAAATACTTGTTGAGCAGCCCTGTGCCTGGCCCTGCACAAGCACTAGGGGCTTAAAATGAATTAGACCCGCCCTGCAAGTGCCCCGGCCAGTGGGGAGACAGAAAGAGAATGTGGGAACTCAGGGAAGTTTCTGAGTGTCCACAAGCTGGGCAGAGGGATGCAGCCAGGAGCAGACTGGTGGAGAGTTCTCGACAAGGAGGAAGTTAAGTGCCAAGGCAAATTACTACCCTAGGCTGACAGCTTCCAAACTGGTCTCTCCCTGAAGGATCGTAGGGCCCTCAGGAGGGTGACAGGCCAATGGCCCCATACAGATGGAACACACACATACAGCTGCACCTCAGAGCCAGAGAGAAAACGAAGTCCGCAGGTAAAAATTATACTTTTATTTGAGTCACCAGAAAGATTCACTTGTGGTCCAAGTCAAATGTTCAGAATCATAACAGGCCAGAAGGATTTGATCCCAAGCACAAGCCCACAAGGGAGGGGACCAAACAGACCAAGAAGAGACAACCACCCCATATAAAAAGATGAATGACGGCTTCACACACACGGACGAAATGTTTGGACAGAGGCAAATTTCACATGGTCGTTTGTTTCTTTTTAAATACAGGTTTGTGGGTGGTACTTTCCAGCTATTAAAAAAAGGAGGGGGCCCAAAAGTGCTTATGTGAAGGGGAAAAAAGGCAGAAATTAAGCAATAGTTTTCCCTGGAGGGACATGAGGAAGAAAACAGGAAGCAGTGTTGAGAAAATTCCCTTTCTCACCATTGGGCTTCTTGTGTTTTATTATTGGTCCACTGACGTTATATTCACATTCTAGTTTGGATGTTATCTTCTTTCCTGGGACACGGGCTAAAAGACCTCTGTGAACTGTAAGAGAAGATCTGGGCCTCAGCTCAGCCCCCAGATTCTGTGCTCTTTTAGGGATGGATGGTTCTGGAAAGGAACAAGGACTCCCAGTAGCCCCTGGGTCCCTCAGCACCAGTGTGACAGTCCCTGCTCTCTCTGGGGTGTATAAGAAAAGGCCCCCTATTTTTAGGATGGGAGGAGCAGAGGGCCGGCAGCAAGATTCCAGTGGCTGGCCTGCCTTGTTTTGGAAAGAAAATGCAGCTGAGTGAGGAGGCTATTTCTTGCTCCTCCTCCCGCCCTCCCAACCGCAGGTCCTCCGGCAGGATGTGTCTCTGACCTTTGGTCCCACAATCCATGCTGTGCTTTGAGATCAAGAGGAAAGGGATGATCCAGCACCTCTCCCAAGGCTTCCAATATTGCTCCCTCGTCCCCCTAAATCACCCAGTGTGACACCCTCCCTCTGCCCTCACCTGGCTGGGGCCAAGCAGGAAAAGGGGTTATTGGTCAGGCAGGAGCTCCTGCCCCCCACTCCCCCCTGCAGTCATCTCCTGAGCTCCCTGATTTGGAGTAAATATTCCCAACTCACAAGCAACGAGGGCTTGTTGATCGCGCCTGCGGCCCACCACCGCAGGGTATGAGGATGCAAAGGTGTCCACTGTGAGGCCTGAGTGGACTCAGGGTGAAGGTGGGAGGGGGAGGCCCAGAGGGTAACGAGAAAGCCCAGAGATGAATAAAGCCAGGCAAGGGCCGTCACAGCCACCAGTGAGGAACAGAAGGGACTTGGAGATAGCACCACTTTCCCCTCCTCATCCCGGGGTCTGTGCTTCCAGTTTTGTAGCCCTGGGACCCTTTCCCAACACCTCAAGGGGGCTTTAGGTAAGTAAGGGAGAGGCCTGGGGGGAGCCTCCCCGAATAAGGCACCCACAGTGTGGGTTACACAGGGTCCTCTGGTGCCTCCTCTGCAGTGCAGGGCACAGCGGTAGGGGGTGGGAATATGCCTGGGGCCACGGTGCCTTCCTCTGCCCCATCCCAGCAGGCTCTACCAGCCCCCGCCAGTCTCCAATCGCCCCGGCACACTGCAAGAGGGGTAGGTGGGCTCCTCCATTCCTGGACAGAAGGAGGAACTTTCATTCCAAAGAAAACTAAGGAACTTCTCTCCCCTAGGGCCTCCCCTCCCCGGTCGCTGTGGGTTTTGAGGAAAGTATCAGGGGAAAACAGTCCTGTGCACCCTGCATCAGCCCAGAGGCTCCTGCAGCCCGCACCCTGACCCTTTGCTCACGCTCACGCCAGCTCACACAGCTAGAGACACACATGCTCCTTCCCCCACACGCTAAGTCCTGGAGATGCGGAGGATCCTGTGGCTTTGGACAGATCCAGTCCACGGGGGATGGGAGGCCACAGGGAGGGTGTCTTCCCATGAGGAGTAGCAGGGAGTGGCCCACCCAGCCCAGATCTCAGGGGGCTGAGCCTCGACAGCCAAGAGGCCAGAGGCTTCCTTGCCCCACCTTTCAGGACCGCAGTGTCCAGCCAAGGAGGCAAGGCAGGGTCCCTGGAGGTTGAGGAGAGTGAGGGAAAAAAAGGGCTATGGGTGCTCTCCATCCCTTCCTTTCTGCAGCTGACCCTAAAAGTAAGAAAGGCCAGAACTTGACCCAAGCCGTGCTTCCTGGGGAAGCTCCTAGCCCACGCCCGGTGCGGGTGCGCAGGAGAGCAAAATCACAGTGTGAGGAGGAACACTGCGAGGGTAAGCGGGCCCCAAAGTGGGGACTTGACCCTCCTTTGCTGTCTTTGAGAAGGGGAGAGGGGGAGAGGTGGGAGAGGGGATCCCTCAGGGAGCCAGCAGCTCATCTTTCAGAGGCAAAGCCCTCTCACTGGTGCCTACCCAGTGCAGTCGCCCACCTGTCCCACTCCGGGGACAAGGGCAAAAGGGATGGGGCTCCACTCCCAGGAATGTATAGAGCCCCTCCCCCAGGAGGCCTGGGGGTCTGGGGCTCGCCCCAGCCCTGGAATGTTCGGGTGTGTAAGGAGGTGGGCGGAAGGGCCTGAGGGGGCCAAAAGAGAGAGAGAAGGTAAGGAGGTGTGGGAGCCGCTGGGTTTCCCGTTCCAGAGCAGCCCCTCGGGCCTCGGCCTCCCCCAGGAAGGTCCACACCTGTTCCATCCAAGAGAAAACCAAGACACTGGTCAAGGGGAAAACCTGCCAGAGGAAGGAGCCCGCAAAAGTGGCAGAACAAGGCTTCAGTTGGCAAAAGGAGCTGGAGGAGGGTAGGAAGAAACAAGCTGTCGCAGATTTAAAAACACAAGAGACACTGAAGGGTGGACAGGTCACGCCCAGGACGATGCGATGCTGTGGAATGCACTGAAGGAGGGTGGGGCGGGGCAGTGCCCGGCGGGCTCAGATGGCCTCCACGTAGTTGGCCGGCAGCATTCCTGTGTCCCCGGTGCGCTCCACGGTCCCGTACATCCAGCCATCATCAATCTGCTGCACGTTGACGATGGTGTCCCCATCCTGGAAGGAGACCTCGTCCTCATCGGCGGCGCTGTAGTCATAGACTGCGCGGTACCGCTTCTGCAGGGGCGGGGGCACAGTCAGCCCAGGGCCCAGCGCCCCCAGGACCCCAGCCTTCCTTCCTAGCTGCCTGGGGCCCTCGAGCAGAGCCCGGGTGAGCAGTAAGCCAGCACTGGGAGAGAGGGAAGAGCTGGACTCTGCCTTGAATTTTCTCACCTCTTTGTCTCACTTCCTTGGAATGTCCTATTATTTGGCATCTACTAAGAAGCAGGCACAAGACAGGGACTGAGGCCACAATAGCCAGGATCCACCTCTTGAAAGAGGAATGCAACAAGGTCCCATGGACACATTGCCAGTTAGTTTCAAAATACGACATGCCTTGTACGCTATTATCTGCATTATTATAAGCACCAGTCTGTCCTCTTTTTTTTTAAAGCTGTGATAAGCCTGGCTTCATTCCCAAGTTCAGGACAAAGGCTTATTCTTTGGAGAAAAATCTCTAGGTGACATGAGAGATTTCCACCTTGCAATCGCAGGCAAAGCCTTATGCTTAAGCTCTAGGGAATGTCCAGTAAAAGCACATGAATTCCAACTGTGGTCTTGGAGGTGAGCATGATTCTAACATACTCTAATCTTACTGTCCTTGACACTGAATTATCTCTGGGGGAGTCAGCGCAGCCTTGTGGTCCCTGGGGCCAGGCGGGTCCCTCGGGAGCCTCCCAGAGCCACTGCTACATCCCACTGCCAGCACCCCTGCTCAGACCTGTTTCCAGCCTCCGGTTCGCTCCCTCTCACTGCTCAGCATTGTGACTTCAGGGGGCCTCTCCAAAATGCAAACCTGATCATGTTACTCCCTGGCTTTAAATCCTTCCAAGGTCTCCCATCCTCTCTAGCACTAAATTTCAAACTTTTTCCCCAAGCAACAAAACCTACTCCATTAGCGCCCAGGTCTATGGAATTGAGGGTTCCTTTATCACCAACTCTGGCTCTACCTTTTGGGCTGAGTAGGCACCATCTCTGCCTGTATTCTGCAACGGCCTCCTAACTCATCTTCCTACTTCTACCCTTGACTTCCTACTGCCTTTTCTCAACACAGCAGCCAGAGTGATCTTTTAAAAAACACAGGTCAAATCCCTCACTCTGCATAGCTCACCAGCCACAAACGCCTTCCTGTGGCCTACAAGTCCCTAGCTGATCTGACCTCATCTCCTACCCTCTTCCCCTCTCTGGCCCCTTAGCCTTTCTGCTGGTCCTTGAACTTCCCTAGCATGTTCCTGCCTCAGGGCCTTTGCATTCCTCACACCACTTCACTTTATTGAGGAATTTGCTGCGCTCTCTCCCCTTATCCTACTGTTCTTTCTTCATAGCATGTGCCACTATCTGACCTTTCACTGTATACCTACTTATTGCTTTCTTGTTTATCTCTCAGACTGGAATGTGAGCTCCAAGAGGGCAAGAAGGTGGTCTTTTATTCAGAGTCAATCTCTCCTGTCCAGGGCATGCTTAATATGTGACGGATTGGCCAGTTTACTTCTCTAAGTATTGTCCCCCCTGCTCCTACATGAGCTGCTCTGAATTTCCAGGCATCCAGCACAGAGGAGCTGAGCTCGGCCAGGAGCTCCACCAGGGTGGCTCAGCCACACCTGTGAGTAGCAGAACATACAGGCCGGGAACTTCAGCTCTAAGGACTGGTAGGAACGCCTCACTTCCTGCTCTGCTCGTTCACTTATTCAGCAAACTTAACAAGTGCCCACTCAGTGCCTGGCTCAGAGTAAGTGAACCAAAGGAACAATGCCCTGCCCACCCAGAGCTTCAAGTCCAGCGGGGGACATAGAAGGTAATAAACAGAGGACTGTTTTCAGTTGCAAAGAGAGCTCTAAAGATGGCGTGACAGAAATGTCAGAGGCTCACTGGACAGGAGATGGTTTGGGAGGGCCCTCCAGAGCAGGGGCAGGCTGGGATCTGAAGGATGAGGGGGGTGGTCACGAAGAGTGGGGAGCAGAGCCCAGGTCTGGGAAGCCCTGGGAGAAACGTGCTTCGCCTGCTCCCAGGTAGCTGGACTAAGAAAACCTGGGTTGGGCGGAGGGCAGTAGGGATGGAGGTGGAACACAGGGGCCCGGCCCAGGGCCCTGACCTAGAGGCTGAGATCCCTATCAGCTGCAGATGACAAAGGAACTAGGGTCAAAAAGCAAGGAAAGCCAGGCCTTCTGCATGGGGTTTCTAAGAAAAATCTATGACTTATGCACTTCCCTAGGCCCACCAATCTCTGGCTGTCCCAGGCCTGGCTCCTAGAATCTTCTACCTCCCACCTCTACCCTCTGGCCAGGGCTACTCACCCCACCCCCGCCTGGGGCGCTGCGCTGTATGGAGACTGGGGCTGCAGGCTCCTTGTAGCCTCCATAGGACGGGGCGGCCTGCTGCTGCTGGGGCTGCTGGTACGCTGGAAGATGGGAGGAGACAGGGCTCAGAACCTGTCTTGCCAAAACAGCCCCTCCCAGGGCACCCCATTCCTCCCCACAGCCCACATCATGGACCCCACCCCCCACAGCCCTGCTCAGCCCCCGCCTCTCAGAGGCAATGTCTGTGTGCACGCTTGCAGCGCTGTGTTGTGTAAGCTGCCGCGGGGGCTGCATCTCCCCTGTCACATGGGGAGCCCAGCCTGGGCCCGGCCTGAGCTCATGCCCTCGGTGGGGGATACGGGCAGGCAGGCGGGTGGGTGGGCGGGCGGGCGTGCGTGTGTGAGTATGTGTGTGTGTGTGTCTTCTCCCCAACCTGTAGCTGGCCTGGCCTCAGGTCCACTGCCCCCACAGGCCTCATGCTCACCCAGGGGGCTGGTTGGGAAGTGGTGAGGCTGCTGCTGCTCCTGGGGTCTCCGGTAGCTGCTGCTGTCCTGGGAATCTCGGCGCTCAGGCTCCAGGCCCTCACCCCCGCCGGGGCCCATGCGGCTCTTCTCAAACTCCTCGTGGTATTTTATCTGAAGGGGCAGAAAGCAGTGGGTAAAGGACCTCCAGAAAACCAACCTAAGCTCCCTCCCATTGTCACCCAAGATCCGGGGATGGGAGAGGCTCCTTGAGGGCCTCCTGGCAGAGAAAACCAGGTTCTTGTGGGAGTGCATAAGTTGTGTGCCCTTGGACAAGCTCTGGAACCTTGCCAGGCCTCAGTTCCCACCTCTATAAAATGGGACATCAGTGTCCCAGGTGTAGCAGGGAGATGCAATGAGATGACAAATGGAAGAGGGCCGTGTAGGCTAAAGCACCAGACCAATGTGAGTGGTCATTTTCATGTGCCTGTGGCAGGACTCAGGGCTGCCCTGCTTCCACTCTGGTCAAGAGCAGCAATAGCAGCAACTGTTTATTGAGCACCTACTAGGTGACTACCAGGCACTGTGCTTGCTGTTCCACATCATGGCTCATCTGACCTGTCAGCATCTACGAGGGGATACATTACAGCCCCCGCATCAGACAAGAAGGAAACTAAGGCACCGATAGGCAAGGTGAGCTGCCCAAGAACACGCAAATTCCAGAGCCTGTGCTCTTAATTAGCAGGCGATTCTGCCTCTTGTAGGCACGAGCAGTGGAGGCCAGAGCCCTAGAATGCTCTCCTGAGGACCCCAGCCTTTGGGGACAGGGAATGTCAGGCTGCATGTTCTCTTGGAGATAGAGCCCTCCCCTGAGAAGATTCCAAAAATGGGCAATAAGAGGCCTGGAGAAGTCACACGCCCCAGCACTTGGCAAGAATTGGCTGAACTGAACATGCCAAGACCCTGCAGACCTTCCAGAGCTGTGTTTTTAAAAATCCGCTCTTCTGTTGATCTGCTTCCAACCCACCTGAGCTGCTTATTAGAGGGCAGGTCCCGGGGCCTTCCGTGCAATAGACAAAATCAGGGCTGGGGTTCTGGACTATGCATTTTTCAAAGCGCCTGGGCTGAGTCAGAGGCAGGCTTAAGTTTGAGAACCACTGATCTGGAGCAGAGGTCGGCCCACTGTCCAAGGGCCCACAGCCCATTTGCTCGGGGTCTGTGACTAAGAACAATTACTTCACTTTTTAAACGATGGGGGTGGGGGGGCACAAGAGGAATATTTTGTGACACGTGCACTTTCTATGACATTCACATTTCAGTCTCCACAAATAAAGTTTTATTGGAACACAGCCACGCCCAACGGTTTCCCTATTAGCTGTGGCCGCTTTCCCGCCTTCATCGCCACTGAGCTCAGCAGCTGTGACAGAAGCCAAATGGCCCACAGAGCCTAATATTTACTCTCTGGCCCTTGACAGGAAAAGTATGCTGACCCCTGCTTGCCCAAATACTTGTGAAATGTGTTTGCACAATTCTCCCAAATCACATCTATTTTATAAATTACATACAGGTATGACTTTATAAATATGGAAAGTGTATTGTAAAACCTACACAAAAAAATATGAATAAAAAAAAGTGTATGAGAAAGAACCAGGGCCAGGAGTTCCAAGGTTTTCTCCCTGCGCTCTCAGTGGCCTGTTGCCCATACCCCACCTCGTAGACCAGGGTCTATTAGCTTTTCAGAGAGAAAGCTGGCGGGGAGGAGAGCAAGCAAGGCAGGGGCTGAGGCCCGTGGTTCCAGAGTTCCAGGAGTGCTGGGCAGGTGGGCGGGCCTGGCGTGGGGGAGGAAGCGGGACAGAGAGTGACCAAATAGCTTCCCCTCACCCCCAGAGGAAACTCAGAAAGCAGGACACTGAGGAAAACTGGTCCTGTCCCACGCAGGCCCAGGCCTTGAATTCCCTCTGGGCCTCGGACCACTTGATGGGAGGCTGATTCTCACTTCCTCTTTACCAGCATCCTGCCCTGTGATTCTCCCGGTGGAAAATGGGGTGGGGGAGGCGGGAGGGGCAAGGAGCGGGGCAAAGCCTGCCCTCGGTCCTAGAGCAGAAGGAACCGGTGGTCCTGTGCCCTGGAACCCTGGCCAATGCCTGACGAGCTGTCCAGCCCAGGGCAGGCCTCTTTGGCCATCCACTCCCACCTTCTCTGCCACCTTCTCTCCCCATCCTCTCCCCATCCTCCGTACCAGCTTTGCAGGGAGGACGAGAGTTAACGCTTCGCCAGGCAGGGCTTACATATTAGTGACTAGACTAAAGGTCTGCGGGTGTGGCCCACTGGGCACACCTGCGTCCTTCTGCTGGCCTAGGTGATGATTACTCGCTGCAGCCTGGGCCAGGAGGACAGGCTGGCAGCAGCAGAGCCCAGGACAGGTCCGGTCCGGAGGCAGAGAGCGCCTCACTTTGGCATTTGGGTCAGGACCAGGCCTCTCCTCTCACTGCCCTTTCCCTTTCTGCCCAAGCAGGGCCCTGCGCCCAAATGGTGAAATAATAGGCTGAGCCTATTCCTGAGGGGGCAGAGCCAGCTCTGGCCAGACTGAAAACCCATCGGATCTCTGCACTTCCTGGCAGAAGAGCACCAAAGGCTGAAGTTCTCAGACAAGGGAAAACAGTGAGGGTCCCCCAGCCCCACTCCTCAGTGATCCCTGCCGAGCGATGGGGGGAGGGAGGGAGAAGAGGGTTCACCCTTCCTGAGGCCTCTAGGCTCATAAGGCAACTGCCCTTCTGACTTTTGTCCTGAAAGTGGGGAAGGTCAGCTTCCTGTGTTTACTTTCTGTTAATGAAAAGAGGCCGGACCCGGAGTCAGTGACCGGGGGAGGTGGACAGAGGCCTGCATGGGCCGAGGGTGCCAGGAGGTGGGTTGGGGACAGGCACCCCTGATGCTGGGGGCCCAGCTATCTGGGCAATAGACCCCTTCCCTGAGTGTGACTATCTGCATCAGTGTGGGGGAGGGGCGGTAAGGGAGAGCCCTGGGAAAGGGTGTGTGTCCCCTCGTGTGAGCCAAAGCCTGGTCCTACCCCTGTCAGCATCCTACGGGCTCAGTCCTTCACCACAGGCTGCAGCACCCCTCTCACCTCTCATCCCTGAAAGACCATGAGCCCTTCATTTATTCATGACCATCGGTGAGTCCTTTCCCCTCTGGGCCTCAGTTTCCTCATCTATAAATGGCACCACGGTACCATCTGCTCCCAGGTGGTCCTAAGGCTCTTGACCAGCTCTAAGAACCTAATGAAACTCTAGAGCGGAAAGCAAGTACTAAAGCCTATGTTTCACAAGTGGCTGGTGGACTCGATCCTGCACCTTAAAAAGACACTATATGCAGACAAATACTTACAAAATTAGAGCCAGCTGACCTGGGGGATGACGCAGCGGCAGCCTGAACAGGAAAGAACCCTCTCCCCACCGATGCAGGTACCACCTGTCACGGTTATCGTTAATAACTTTCACATATGCTCATAAATTCATAAAGGCTCTTTGCACATTATCTCCCTTGGCCTGAGTGACAATCACCCTAAGGAATAAATCAGACAGGTCCACCTTAATTCCCACTTTCCAGAAGAGGACAATGAGACTAGAAGCTAAATGACTTCCCGAGGCAGAGCTTTCATTACTCAGTTAGAGCTGAGGCTGGTCACATAAGGACAAAGTCACGGCTGGACAGGCCCTTCCTGAGAACAAGTGTGGGGCAGGGCGACCACATGCCCGCATCTGCCCCTGGTCTTGGTTTACGTCTCCTGTTCTGGAATAAATGTGAACAGCACTCTCTCACTCTCAGAAGAGATGACAATCATAAGGTCACCCTAACTTTGAGAGAAGAGGACAACGGGCATGTAAACTCAGGAGAGGCAGCACCGAGGAGGAGCGGACTGAGAAGAGGGAGGCTGCAGCTCCCTTCTGCCTGGGTGCACCTGGATAAAATGTCAGCAGTGCTCTCAACTTCCTTCCCTTCCCCTCCCCTCTCCAGCAAAGGAGGAAACTGCTATTACTTTGCTCACTGACCTAATGGTTTGAGAAGCAGATAGGCACATTAAAGGGTATTAGCACATCCGAAAGGGAAACAAACATTTTCTAGATTCCAAGGGCCTGGCTCACCCCTGCTCCAAGCTCACCCAAGTTCTGATCTTCTAAGAGCCCACATGGAGGTCACCCTAAGTCCAAAAATATCAGCAGAGCCCCAGCTTAAGATCTGCCCCGGGCCCTCATAGAAAGACGCCGCGCTCTAACTGTATCATGACATCCAAATGCATGTGGTCGAGGAGCTCAGGCCAGAGGGCCCTGCCCACTCACCCAGGCCCCTGGAAGCCAGGACTGCGGGGTGACTAACGGAGGGCCCGCTCCGAAACTAACGGAAACACACTTTCTCTGCTACTTCATGTTTTCTTTTCCCTGAGCCTCCCTGCTCTCCGGCTTGTGGTGAAAAACAAAGGTCTGACTTGACACGTTGTTCTCACATGATTCTACATCATGGCTAACAAGGGAACACCAGGCTTTAAATGGAACAATCAACTCATTAGCCGGGGTCTATTTTTATAATGTCTCCCATTTGTTGAGGGCCTATTTGGTGCCCTTATATGCTTCATTCATTTTCTTTTCTCAGTCAGTCCAAGAAAAATGTGTATTATCATCCCCAAGGCTCAGGAGATGGTTAAAAGGTAAGTCAGAAACTAGTTCTAACATCAGATTCTTAGTTCTCAATGACAAAATAACAATATTTTGTTCTTAAAACAAATAGAAATCTGTGTTCAATCTCGTTAGTAATCAGAGAAAGGCAAGTAAAAACTACAATGAGATATCACTATATACAATGAAAATGGTTAAGAAAAACAAGTCTAAGGATGTAGATCAATAGGAACCCTCATCGCTGCTGAGAGTAAATCAGTACAGCTGCTTGGAAAATAGTTCAACATTATCTAGTAAGGTTGAAGGAACGTACGCTGTAAGACCCAGCAATTCCACTCCACACCAACACTAAGAAATAGGAATGAGCATGGCTCTCTCTTCCTTCCTTCCTTTTTTTCTTTCCTCCCTCCCTCCCTTTATTTATTTAATTTCATTGCGGGAGAGAGCTGGGGAGCACACTGGGAGAGGGCCCGAGAGCATGCTGGGAGAGCGTGAGAGGGCAAGGGGGCGTCTTGCATGAGGATGTACATAGTGCACAGAAACATTCCAAATATCCATCAACACCAGAATCAATAAAACGTGGCGTAAGCCTTAAATGGAATACTATACAGCAACAAAAAAGAAGGAACTACAACTACATGCGAACATGTAGGTGAATCTTTAAACCTACTGTTGCCCAAAAGAAGCGAGATAAAAAAGAATGCATGCCATAGGTACAAAACCAGTTAAAACAAAACTAGAGCATTTAGAAATGCATAGTTACATATTAAAATTAGAAAAAATAGCACACACTTTGTGTATAGTTATACAAACTATAGGTTTGTATAACAAGCCTGCCTTCAGGCCATTTGACTCTGGGGTTGGAATTTTGTTCGACTTCACTATTTTCTACTGATTAGGCCCAGGCTCTAAAGACTGAGGCTAACGTAAGGGATATAAGCTGCTAATTATTTTTGTCTAATCGAAATGCAAAGGATTTCTGCCTGCATCAAGGATATCTCTGAAGTTTATGGTTTTATGGTCCTGTAGGACATTAACCAGTTCTGTATTTAATTGTATCCAGCATTTCTTTCCCTGACGAGGCATCCCCTCTGCCTGTCATATCCTCCAGCTGGTTCCTCATAAATAAGTTAAATATATGGTAGATGCTTACTTGCGATACAAGAGATTTTTTTTTTTTTAAACCCTTTGAAAAGTCTTTTGACGGGTGCAGTAATGTTGTTTCTTGACTTGCATGGTGAGTCTACACAGAGGGTTTACTGTATGGGTCACTGAGTGTTATATTTCAAAGAAAAAAGTTAAAAGACACAAAACTGTATACAGAAAAATCAATATATAAGTAAATATGTAAGTAAATGAAAGCATCTCTACTTGAAGGCAGTGGCTCCCACAAAGGGGCCTCAGCAATTAACATTTCCCATCCACGTAGCCATTAGAGCTCACGGCCAAAGGCCAGGACTCTGAAAGGATAAATGTTACCCTGTAGCATGCGGCTCTGGCCTCTCAACCCTGTAGATGCCTTTAATGAAGACACAATTACTCACCAGATGTAGAACTTACTGGTATCTTGCCTCAAATTTTTCCCCACAGTCTCCACTCTAGACAATGGCCCAATTTTTCAGCCCAACTTTACTCCCTGTCCCTTAGCCACAATACAGAAAGCAAATAGGGCTGCCTCAAAAGTAATAGTAACAGACAATATTTATCATATGCCAAGCACTTGACATTGTCCCTGCAACCACTTCCGAAGGTAGGGCCTATGGTCCCCATTTTTCAGTGAAGGAAACTGAGGCTCAGGCAGGGCCTGCCAGCCCTTGAACGATAGAAGCTGGGGCTCTGCTCTCACTGGCTCTTCCCACGTCACCATCTTGCCTCTGAGCAGGAAGGATGACAGGCCACACATAACCAAAGTGTTTAAACACCACCTGGGGAGACCAGACACCTATGTTTAAAATGCTCTCACTAGTAAACCCTCCAGCCTGCAGCACATTCACCAGGGAGGCAAACTATCTCTCTGAAAATGGTCTGACCCCTGGAAACAGCTAGGAGTCACTGGGGGCTGGCCTGGCCACTGAGGGACGATATATATATAGGAACACTATTTTGGATACAAAACAAAAGGTGTGGCTCTAAACACCATCTTTCCCAAAACTCCTCTGGACGTGGGACAAGTCAGCAATGGCTCTAATCATGGTTTAAATTCCCTGGGAATTGTGGGATGCAGCCAGGCTGGGCACCCTGATTTAGGACTTGTCAAAGATTTTTCAGACTCTTAGGTGATGGTTCCCAAATGTCAGTGAACACCAAAGAAACCCAAGGAATGTGTTTCAATGCTGGTTCCTGGGCCCCATTCCTAGAGATGCTGATTCAGGCAGCCTGGGGGTGGGGCCTGGGAGCCTGCATTTTCAAAAACCTTCTCCAGTGATTCTAGTGCAGCTGGTGGGAGACCACATCTGACAGACTCTAACTGCATTCACTACAACCAAGAAAGAGTCTTCCAGCTTTGTGGCTGCACCTCACAGGTCCCAGCTAAAGCTGCAAAAGCAGAACCAGGTCAGGCTCAATTCATCTCCCCCACCTCTGAGCAGAGGACAATCAGCTAATTGCAACCCAGCGGTTAATGATAAGATGGTTATCTCCTTAGGTGTGAGTATCTTGGCCACAGTGAGTTCTGAGTTCGGTTACCAAGACTCCTCAGACAGTAACACCTCCAATAACTGGTGGGTAGGGGAGGGAAAAAGAACAGGTGTCGTAGTCTGGGTGTGGAGTATTCTGGAAGCCTTCCAGAAAGGGAGGCAGGAATGATTGGGCTTGCTTGTCTTCTCCCAGCACACACCCTGGAGGCTCAAACCCACAAGCTAGAAGCAATGACTGAAAGTATTCAAGGATTAAGGTTATAGTTGGGGAGCAAGTTGTCAATAATAAAAGACAAGAGTCTTCCCAAGAAAAAGCCAAAAAGGCCAAAGAGTCAAGATTCCAGCTTTGGGAGCCATTCTGTCTTTTCCCCATCACCCAAGGCTTCCTCCTCCCTCCAGTTTCCTCCTGGTGAGCTCTAAGATACAGACCTTCTTTCCCTCCTTACCTTTGGCCAGGCCCTGGCTTGTAAGGAAGGGGGTGGGGGAGGGCCAGGGCAAGGGATTAGAACCCTGGGAGGCACACCCTCCTAGCCCAAGGGAAGCCTTCTGCACCCCCAAGCCTTGAATTTCAAACTGCATGTTAGCAACCTAATTGTGAAACCCATTCAGGGAAGTCTGCAACCAGCATCTTCATAAAATGAAACAGAAAATATCTGAATACCCTCCAGTATTAAGAACTTTTTCCATGAAAGTTATGAGTCTGTTTTCGCTTTAAACAAATTAGCGGGCCTGTTTGGCTGGGGCAGGCTGGAGGGAGGTCCCCAATGTGAAATGTACTTCATATTGTAGCTTGCAGTCAGTCTGAAAGCCATGGTCTGGGACATGGCCAGTCGTCCCGGGCTGGGGCCCTGGCTTCTGAAACCACCTGCACCACTGTTGGAGCTCCCCCCAAGCACACTAAGAGTGTCCTGACCAGGGGGTCGGGCAGAGGAAAGGGGAGCCAGGTAGCGGGATGGGGAGCACATGGGTGGATGCCAGGTGGGCCACCTTGAAACCCAGCCTATCTGCAGCCTCAGCTCAAGTCTCTCTGTTCCACCTGGACAACACACAGACCCCTTCCCATTCCAGCTGTAAAGACAACTGCTTGCCCAGTCCTTCCTTTGCAGGCTCTCCTGGCCCAGCGGGCTGGGCGCTTCCTGCAGCCCCGTGCCCCAACACCCCCGTGCGCCGGTCTGCAACCCATATTCACGGTCCGTGCTGCGGCTCAGAGCACTGCTCCACCCCACGTGCCCAAAGCCCCAGAGGCGGCCTCCCCACGAGCCCAGGGCCACACAGGCTGCAGGTCTATGGCTCGGCCAAGCAGGAAACCCGGCGATCCACCGCCCATTCTCTACACTCAGCCTTGCCCACGCCAGACACTGCTGACCAACCTGCGCCCAGGAGGGCCCAGGCCAGGGGCGGCAGGGCCGCCGGGGGAAGCTGGCTGGGGTTTTTACACAGGAAGGAAGAACAAGCCAAGGTGGGGGAGGAAGCTGAAGGAGGGCGGAAATGACTGCAATGTCAGCACCCAAAGGCAGACAAGGAGGGTGGCCCCTCCCCATCCCTGCCACCCAGTTTTGAAGTTTTGACCTTTGTGCTCAGACAAAACAGCTAGTCTGGACCCTAACACCCACCATAGCCAGGAAAAAAACCCATAAAACTTCAAAGAGTTCGGGGGGGCCATTGAGCACATAGGCCCTCCCTATACCCCTCCCCAAAGTATAGTCCTTCGCAGGCAGAAATGCTATGTGGGCAGAGGGTGGTAAAGGGGGAGTCTGGGGTACACAAAAAAAATATCTGGGATCCCTGCACTCTTCCCTTCCCGCTGTTCACGCAGCTGTCGCCCAGGCCCGCCCCGAGGCCTCATTCACATCTGCCAGACTGGCAGGGAGGCGACAACAGGAAGGGCAGCAGGTCAGTGTGGCACCAGGAGGGCAGTGGAACTTACGTTACTGATCTGGTCCTGGGTCTTCTTGATTCTCTGGAGTTCGGGTGTGTCTGCCACGACGCTGAAGCCTTTGCCCTTGTTCTTCTCAAACTCCTCCTTGTAGCGCACCTGGAGGGCCCAGATGGGAGGGACTGGAGTCAAGCCAGGGGAGCAGAGAGGGCCCTCGCTGAGGGCCTTCCCTGAGGCAGCAGCCAGGGCAGGAGAGAGATCCTGACCGAACTCCCCCTGTAGTGACAGCCGTCCCGACCCCCCCAACTCAAAACAGAAGCCTTAACCAAAAAGTACAAAAGTCATAATGACAATCCACTAATACGTACTCAGTGTATGCAGTGCATTTGGAGTGCCAAGTGCTCTACATGAACTATCTCATTTAAATCTTACCATATGCTATTCTTAGCTCCATTTTAGATAAGGAAATTGAGCCACACAGATTATAGTCCCATGCCCAAGGTCACACAGTTTAGCAGCAAACGTCCAGTGCCACCAAGATGCACAGCTTCATCTGCCTGACTCCCAGCCCTTCACCGCCAGCCCGTCCTGTCAGGAGGCTGTCAGAAGGAAGAGGGCTCTTGCCAGAGCCCCAGAGTCTGCCCCAGCCCTCGCCCTAGCCAGGCCGCGGCCCTACCCACCAAGAGCGCAAGGCAGTTTCTAAGTGACCAGCTAAGCGAGGGCTGTGCCAAGGGACAAAGCTGGAGCCCACAAAGGAGGGCGGGAGACAGCCACTTGGAAGACTCAGTCAATGAGCCTTTGACAGGCACTGGTGGCTTCCTGGAGCCTGCCGGGCCAGGTCAGCGCCACAGGAGTGGACAACATCGGTTCGGGACGGCGGACAGCACTTCAGGACAGGGTTCCAGGCTCTGGGTTAGAACCCTGCCACCCCACCACGGCCCTCCTCTTCTGAGAATCCATGGATCCTCGAGTGGAGGGACTCAAGTCAGGCAGCAGAAAGGACTTTCCAAACACTCAAGGAATTGAAATAGGAGGATTAGCTTGTCCGCCCCCACCAAGGGATTTAAAGAACATAATGAACACTGTTAATGCCCATGGGACAGAGAACTGTGCCCTGGCTTCCAGAGACGTCACTGTCCACCTTGGCAGCCAGCTGTTCCAAACCCCACCAGCTGCCTGGATTTTCTCCAGGGGGCTGCGCTATCCTGGAAGCGGTCAGCCCAGGACATGAGGCCCAGGACCTCGGGAGTTTCCAGAATGGCAAGCCCAGGCATGGAATCATTTGGTCACAGGGCCGCGCTGCAGGACGACCCAACTGACAACACGCATGTAGGCCGCCCTGGCCACACCTGTCAGCTCCCCTGCACACCCCTCAGGGGTCAGGAGTCCTTTTTTGTCCTTTGGGGCGTCCAGCTCATCCATCCCTGGGCTTCTTCCTAAAAGGTTCCAGAAACTCCTTTGTTTTAGCCCAGAACAAAAACAAAGGCCTGGACGTGCTAGTTCCCATCAGAGGGGAAGTTAACACAGTGGATAAAAGTACCACCCCACCCCAAGGGCCCAGGACGGCCCAGCACCAGCCCATCCAGGAAGGCCTAAGCCAGCATGTGATGCTTGGTGTGGGGGCGGGGAGGGGAAACCCTCTAAGGAGGAGGCATCAGGGCAGGCGAGGCCCTTAGAGTCAGAAAAATGGAGCTCCAGATACAGAAGCCCCAAATCCAAGGCCTCTTGCCTCAGTTTCCTCACCTGTAAAAGTGCTGTCATAGGAACCATGGGGCGGGGACTTCCTATGTCCAAGCATGGCCCAAATGCCAGAAGGAACTGCTACGAACACAGGGTCAGTCTCCTGCTTGCTAAGTGACCCTGGGTCAACGACTTAAGCCTTCTGGGCCTTAGTTTACAAATCTGTAAAACGGGGCTAGTAACACCACCCATTCCAATCCGCGGGGTAGATCATAGTGGGTCTACGGTAGCTGCCTCACCGGGGAGCACACGGCAGGGCTCACCACATCCTGGTAAGGGTCGTTGTGAAAGTGCTTTGTTAAAGTCCTGAACAGACCAGCACTCCCCACTCCCCCACCCCCATCCTCTACTTCCTGGCCTGGCAAGGGTCAGGACCCTAATCCAGGGGAAATTGCCGTGGCAACACTGTGATGACGCCAGCGGGTTCCCAGGCTCAGGAACTGCCCCTCTCCTGGCTGGGAAAGGAGAATTCATTTACTCCTGCCAGAGGGTCCGTGGAGGGCAGGGCTGGGGTGGAGTCTGCGTTGAGAGAAGACAGAGGCCCGGGCTCAGCACCACTTTGCTGTGAGTCCCTACACCAGTCAGTCTCTCTCCCTGGCTCCCCACCTCCAAGAGGGACTAACGAGCCGATCTCTGAAAGCCCTCCGAGCCCTGGAGCTTGAGACCATTTTTAAGCACCTACGGCCCCTAACTATGGAGACTCGAGGTGGGGAAGGTTCTCCGAGAGGCTGTTCAGTGCTGGAGTGGGTGACAGCCAGAAGGCGGGGTGTGGGCAGGGCCCTGCCTGGAGTCCCTCCGTGAGGGCTCCTTATCTGGGATGGCTCACCAGGATGTGACGAGGGTCTCTGAGGAGGGAAAGGACCTGTCCAAGGTCACTCAGCCCGCCTGTTGGTTGGGTCAGGATGCAACCGAGTGCCGTGGCTGGATGACTCTACGCCAGGGAGGCGGCAGGACCAGCACGGATGCCTGAGCTTCCTCAAGCCCAAACCACCCTCACCCATGAAACTCTACTTTTTCTACATAGATTTACTAACGATTCTCCCAGGATCTATCTCGTTCATCACTCATCCCAGCAAGCAGTAGGCACAAATAAATATCTGTTGAGTAAATGATGAATGAATTGAACATAGACACAAAATTTCCAAGCAAACAGGCAGCACAATTTGGAAATTAACTCCCTGACCCAACGTAAGAGGAAAGATCATGACTAAAAATTCATTGCAAAAAAAAAAAAAAAATACAATACCAACAATTTCCACTTACTTTGTGCCTACCGGTGCAGGGGGCCCGCATACACTGCAACCCCCTCCCTTCTAACAAAAAAGAAACCGGGGTTGAAATGTGACACACGCGCGGGGAGAAGGCCCGAAGAAAGAGGCCGGAGCTGGAAGCAATCACCAGGTCATTGTGCCTGTGCCTCGGCCTCCAGTTCCTCGCCTCTCCAGGAGAACAGCAACAGCAAACACTTGCTGAGTGCCCGCTCTACCCGAGGAACTGTTGGAAATGCCTGATGGGTACTAACGTCCCCACGGCAACCCTGGGAAAAAGGTAATCGCCATTTCACAGGTAAAAGCACTCTGGCTCAGAGACCTTAAATATCTTGGCCAAAGTCAAGCGGCTGGTAGTGGCAGATCCAGGATTTAACCTCTGACCAGCCCGCTCAAGTAAGAGTGGCACAGGTACGTTATCTGAGGTCACAGGATCCAAGATAAGAGAGCAGGGACCCTGCCCAAGGATCGGCAGGGGGCTCTCCCGTTTCCTGTGGCAAGTCCCAGGCGGTGCTACACCCGGGAGGTGCGACAGTGAGGGGAAAAAATGAAAGAGACATTGTCTTTGCACTTCTGCCTGGGCCCAGGGGGCTGCACGGCCACTCCCAGCTCAGCCCCACCCCAAAGACATTGCCTCCATTCAGCCTGGGGTGGGGGCTGGGAGAGCTGCAGGGGGCGGGCGCTGGGGCCCAGCTGCCATTCCCCTGCCTCAGCCAAGCCCGGCCAGGACCACCCAGAGGGTCATTTCTGGTCAGCTGTGTGGTTCCTTCCCCCGCAGGGGAGGCTCCAGGTGTCCCAGACACCCACAGTCCCACTTGGGGAACCAATCTGGAGCCGGGAAAACAAAGCTGAAATAGCACAGGCAGCTTCCCAGAGACAGATGAAGGGCTGAGACGCACCGATGCAAGCCCAGGAAGGGGCCCTGGAAAGAGAGCAGCTGACACCCTGGAGGGGTGGGGCAGGGTAGGCCGAGGAGGCTCCCACTTCCCTTCCTGCCAGCCACAGGCGGGCGAGAGCTGGCCCTGCCCCCACGGCGGCCACAGGAACCAGAACCTGTCACCACCCCCAGCCTGGCCAGCTCAGCCCCTCCAAGCCTCAGAGCAGCAGGCCCAGCCCCCGACCTCTCAGCAACTGGGGTTTGCTGTCCCCATTTTACCGTGGAAGGAAAAAAGCCACAAAGCCACCAGAGGCAAGCGGCCAGGCTCAGACCACACAGCTGGGGGAGGTGGAGGGGAGGCAGAAACAGGCCCACAAAGAGGGCAGGTCCTGCCTCCACCCTCTGCCTCCCCAGACCCTAGCACCGCCCCCCCCCACCCCCAGGAGCCCAACTCTGGGAGATTAGAGCCCTGCTCTTAAGGCAAAGGCCTACCTCCCAGGGCTCAGACCATCACAGCAGAAAGAGGGTGAGCTCAGGTCCTTCGGCTCCACCTGACCACCAGCCCCGTTCTAAGCCGCTAAACCAAAAGTTTTCAGCAGAATAACAGGGCAGTCAAAAAAGATTCCTGGGCCCTACCCAGCAGCCCCCTGGGTGCATTCTAACCAGTTCCCCAGTCCCTTCTGGTGACTGCTGCATCCTGGGATCCCGGGCTGAGAGCAGGGGGCTGGGGAACCGCTAAGAGCAAAGGGTTTGAAATTTGCATCTGGGAAGTCGTGTGGCCTCTCTAAACCTCAGTGGTCCCATCTGTACAATGGGGATGGCAGGAGTCCCTTCTCTAGCAGCTGCTTGTGAGGAGTAAACGAGGTCAAGGCCTGGCTCTCAGCAAGGACCTCATGGAGAGTGACTGCCATTCTCACGATTCCCCAGCCCACCGGACAGTCAGGAGCCCAGAGCCCAGGAGATGACCCAGGAGGGCCCCTGGGGAGCAGGGGGTGCCCCTCAGGGATCGGGTTCCAGGGACAAAAAAAGACCTGCAGCCAAGCTTTTGTGAGACCCAACAAAGGCTGAAGGACTTAGCCCGGCTTAAATTTCTCCTTCCGACAGCACGGACATGCGTGCGTGCGTGCGTGCGTGCGTGCGTCTCCCCTGCTTCCACCTGAGTGTGGGTGCACTCTCCTGCTTCTTCCCCCAGGCCCCTCGGGGTCCCTCTCAAGCTGTGGGTTGAGTACAGCTTGCCCCATGATGCTCTGGCCTGCCCGTCCCATGATACCCACTCCACCTCCGGCCCCTGTGGACTCGCTACAGGACGGGGAGCCGGGGGCAGCAGTCAGGGGCTGGCCGTCCTCCCCGTGCAGACCGCGCCCTGGCCTCAGGGCCGCCTCAGCCCCTCTTCCTGCCAGCTGGGCCACCCAGGCCTCCTCAGCCAGCAGAGGTCTGGGGTCCTCACCGGCTCTGCCAGTGACAGCAGCTTTCACCGCAGCAGGGCCGGGGGCTGGGCTGGCAGCTGTGAGCTGCTGCCAAGGAACTAACCATCTTCCCCGCTTGCTCCCCGTCACTGTGGGCCCCACCTGGGCTGTACATGGTCAAGGTCACTATAGTCTGGAGTGAAAAAACCAGAGCCCAGATATTGAAACCTCGCTTAGCTTGTGTGTTTGCAGCCAAAGGCCAGTGCCTCTTTCAGCCTTCGTTCCCTCGCCTGACCCCCCAGAGTAGGGTCAAGGGTAAATGAGGCCAAGTAACTCAAAGCACTTGCTAAGCTATAGAAGTTCTCATCAGCGTGTTTCAAGGTAGCAACGGTGCTCCTCAGGGAGTTGGGCAGAGGACTGGAAGGAACACAAGTCTCAAGGGTTAGACAAATCAGCATTCAGAGCCATCAGCATCTACTTCCTCTTCCACAGAGTGGAAGTGATCCTATCAACTGCACGGGGCTGCTGTGAGTGAGCTAATGTGCCCAGGGCATGAAGCACGCAATACGCTGGCTGTTAATATTGTTACTGTCTCCGCTACTACCGGTATGATCTTAGCAAGTCCCTTAATGTCTCAGTTTCCTCATCTGCACAATGGGAAGCAGCCCAGGGATGGTTCTCCCCTCACGAGACCTACTGGGAGACAGGGACCCAGAGGGGCCATGTCAAGGCCATGCAGCAGGAGCCCCACTCCAGGGGGAGCAGGAGCAGTCCCTACTGCAGCCCAAGTAGATCCTCTACGACATTTCTCTGGCCCTGTGCATGCTGCCCATTTGGTTAAGTTCCCCAGGGAGCCTTTGCTGAACCACCCATCCCCTCCCCATAGTCCAGGCCAGGTTTGTCCCAGAAGCCTTCCCAGACCCCCAGGCAGGGCCAGCTCTTCTGGTATCAGGGCTCTTATTCCTCGGTGTCCCCTAAGTACCAAGTTCCCCCGAGGTCAGGAACCCATCCCCTGCCCTCCCGCATGTAACGCACACTGCGCCCTAGAACAGGTGCTCAGGAAAATCAGGCCCAGGGAGACAAAGGCAGACAAGCCCCCCGGGCCAAGGCCACCTTCGCAGTCTGCCCCCTCAGAGCGGCGTAGGAGGCCTGGGGACATGGCTATAGAGGGTGGGCTGTGTAACCTCAGCCGAGCATGAGTCTAGAGAGGTGAGCTCCCTCCTTTGAGGGCGGGCGTGAGCGCAGAGGAGACGGGAGCAGCTGCTGGAGGTGGTGGGCTTTGGGGCCCCAGAATCAGACACACACCTCTCTCCAGCCCACTTTAGGTGAGAAGTGGAGGCATGCTCTCCCCAGCTCCTTAGATAGAGTCAGGAAATAGGAAGTAACGGGGTACGGAATTGGGGGCAGGGAGACAAGGCAAGTGCTAGGATTTCAGCACGTTGGCCTTGCTGAGTAACCCCAGGGGGAAGGAGCCCTTGCCAAATGCAGGAGTTACAACAGCTTTCCCTCCTCACCAGGCCCCAGCAGCGGCCCCGCCCCCTCACCTGACTCTGGAGCTCGCTCTGTTGCTTGAGGCGGAGGTTTTCCGGGGTGTCGGCCACCATGGTGAAGGACTGCTTGGGGTAGTGTCTGCAAGACAGAAAAAAAAAGTTGGGGTCACTCTGGGGAACGGGCAGGAACCCCTAAGCTTCTTACAGACCTCTGGCTCTCTCCTGGCAACTTCCTCTTGTCCCTGGGCAGCCCCACCCCTGTTGCAGGAGCAGGGCTATAGTGTCCACAGCTCGTGCGGAGGGAGGCAAGTGTCTCTCACACTCATGCTGGGCTGAGCTGGGAGACACGGCAGGCCTGAGTGGCCGGCGGGCCATGGAGAACCATCCTGAGCCAAAGGGAGACCATGGGACACCCTAAGGGTTTCAGATCACCATTGTTTGGAGATAATCCATACCTTAGAGTCTACCAACCGGGGAAGTCAAGAGGGCTGGGCCAGACTGGGGAGAAGATAAAGATGGGGTCAGGACAAAGCTTTACGCTAAGACCAGAAATGGAGACCAACCAAGGAGAGGAAGGGCAGGAAAGATGCAGAGACAGGAACAAAGGGGAAAGAGACATGCATATCCAGGGGGCTTCCTGGAGGAGGTGGTGAGACAGAAAAAATGCACACATCCAGAGCAGTATTTCCAAGGGCTACCAAGGTCCAACTTAGCTGGAGCGTAGGCGGGAGATCAGCTTGACGCCAGAAAAGAGGTCACCCTTGGGCGACAGATAATGCTGTAGCAACGGTTGATGTTTGCCCTGTGCAAAGGGCATACATGTCTTAGTTCATCAAATTCGCACAACCACCCCACTGTCCTCCTATGACAGATGACAGACGGAGGCCCAGAGAGGTTAAACAACGTTGCCAAGACACAAGGCTGATGAGTGCAAGCATCTGGATTGGCACCCAGCCTCCCCAGGACCCAGCACACTGAACCAGACCCTTCAATCTCCAGGCACTAGACAGACCAGAGACCTGTCCCCCAGAAAAAGGGCTGGCTTGGAGGCAGCAGGAGCCAGGGAGGCCCTTAAAGCCAAGCCTGCAGGGACCCCTCAGACCATCCGGCACAACCCTCATTTCCCAGAGGAGGAAATAGTGTGCTGGCACCAATACTTAGCAGTTAGGTGACTTATAACTAACCTAACCATCGGTTTATTTTCTCCTTTCTCCACTACTTCCCTGTGAGGTGAGGGGTTTTTTTTTTGGTCTCTCTTATTCATCGATTTATCCCAAGCTGCTAGAATAGTGCCTGGTATCCAATATATATTTGTTGAATGAACGAATGTCACACCAGGAGCTGAAACTGGGTTGGGACTGGAACTCAGGTCTTCTACATCTCACTGGGTCATCACAAAGTCTCCAGCAAACCAGCTAAAGGGGACGCAGTCCTGACTCGCTGTAGTTTGTGAATATGTGCAGGTATGTGAGGGCTGGAGGTCCGCAGGGGATCCAACTATTTCAGGGACTGGCGGGCTTCTCTTATCAGGAGCTGAGATCTGGCCATCTTCAGCCCTGGGTGACCACACCCCACCATAACTGTGACCAGCAGCGGGTCCCTGATCACAGGCTGTCCCCAAGTAAGAGGAAGGCTGGCCTCCTTCTGGCAGGTTCCACTGCAGCTGGCTGACATGCCCTAGAGCTGGGCATGAGCAGCCCTCTGGTCTCTGTGACCTCACCAAACCTGGCATGTCCTCCGGCTGCCCGCACCACCCCAAGCCAGAGCTATGGTGACTTCCCAGAACACGTGACTCCCCGGTAAAGAGCAGGACTTGGGGCTTTGGAGAACTCCCCCCAGGGGGTGGGCGCACAGCGCTGGACTCTGGCTCTGCCACAGGCTCGCCGGGTGACTGGCAAATCCTTTTTCCCTCTGGGCTGGTTTCACTCTCTTGGACCGAAGTGATTATAGCTGTGTCTCAACCCCTAGCGTCCATTGCCCTGCCTTGGTCCAGCCTCCTAGGTCAGTCCAGGCTCACAGCTGCCCCAGCAGAGGGAGGAAAGAGAGGAGACTGAAAAGTAAACACAGGTGCCGGCAGCTGGCATGGCCTGCGAATGAATGTGAGGCTAGGGCGGTGGGTCCAGTCCCCAGTCTTGGCCCAGTTCCATGAAACCAGGGCCACCCACAGCTGAGGAGTGCCATTCAAAATTCCTGAGCAGCTCCAGGGAAAGGGAGGATCGATCAACTGGGAGTCGGTCTGCAGAGAATAGAAAGAGAACAGCAGGAGGGATCTAAATAAGATCTTTAGCAGAACTGGCAGGCCCTGAGGTCTTAAAATGGAAAGTTTCAGAGATGACCCTCCTACCAAGTAAGAGCCATTCAGAAGACCTCATGGGGTGGGGTGTGTGGTGAGGAGAACTTCTGTAAGTGCAGACTCTTGTGGCAGAGGAGGGAGATTAGGTCAGAAAGCAGGGGACCGAGGAGACCTCCAGGGCAGCTCTGGCCCAGAACCTCAAGGGCCAGTTCTGAGAAGATGGCACTGATTAGCACTTGGTGGGGAAGGGCAGCTGACACACACACGTGCACGGGGGCCAGTCTGCAAACCTGGGATCCCATCTGCCTGAGTGTACACGGTAAAAACGGAGTGCCAGCTCCAGTGGCCCGAGGACAGCTAGCCGTGGGCCTGACACACGCCCCCGCCCCACAGTTCCGAGGCTCCTCCAAACACTGCGCTATTCCTCACATGCCACACGTGCATGGATAAGCCTTCTACAGCGATGTGTGTCTCCTAGACACGGAGGCCAGCGGGTCCACACGTGACAGTGCGCGTTACGGGCCACGTTCCCATGCCTCCCGTGCCTCCCGCACTCCACCAGAAGGGTCTCAGGGGCCCTCCCCCGCCACAACGTGCAGCCAGTACCTCTGGGTGGGGTTGGTGCGTATTTCATCCTCTCCTGGGAGCCACATGACCCCCAGATCTCAGCGCCCCCAAAGCCAGAACACTGACCCCATCAGAAGGGAAGGAGGAACCAACTGAGATGTGGTCTTTGATTAATGGGGCACGGGAAGGAAGGGGGTTTTAATCCTGTATCAGATTAGCTAGGTTTAAGAGGCACTTCAGAACCCCCAGTCTCTTACCCCTGCCTCCGAAACCCCAACCCCAGGCTAGAGGGAGACAGGCAGCTCAGGCTCTATTTTTCCTGCTGGGTCAACGCTGTCCCCTCCCCACAGCCCCCAGCCCTGGCTTCACAACCCTGCCTCTCCCTTCCCCTGCTCACTGCGCTTCAGGTTCCCATGGCAACCTCATCCTCAGCTCCAGGCAGGAGTGCAGAGAGAGAGAGAGAGAGAGAGAGAGAGAGAGGGTCTGTGGGGGTGGGGAGGAGACAGCAAGGGTGTCCTCCACTGCACTGCCGTGAGGGCAGAACCAGGAGCCCGCGTCTGCAATCTGGGGAGGAGGACAGGAGCCACGGTGTGTTTTGAGAGGGTGGACACAGCAGCATCAGTGCCGTGCCCCTCCCCCTCAGCACGAGTGCCCCGGAAAGGGCTCCAACTGATTTGACCTCCTTCCAGAAACAAGTGCTGGGAATTTTACCTTTTCCCTCCCTCTCTGTCCTCAGGTTGAAGCTCTGTCCACCCACTACCCTCACATGCCAGTCGGGATGAATGGGTGTGTGTGCATGCCATTGTGGCCACTAGAACAGAAGAGGGGCCACCGCCCCCAGCTAGTGACCCCACTGGAACCCCGGCCCCACCAACCGACGGGGCCATGGTGAGGGAACAAGGGGCCAGGATGGGGAGAACCAGGCGTCCTAACCCTGGCCTGGAGCTGGGTCCAGAGCACAGCTGCTCTTTGTCCCTTCCTGGGCCAGCCTCCCTGCTAATCATTCCAAGCGCCCTCTGCAACGCCCCTCCCAGCCCTCGGTGGCAGTATCAGCTGCTCTGGGGAAGAGCGGCATGGAGAGACACAGAAGAGGACAGAAGTCTGGAAGACAGGAGAAGGGATCTAGCATCCATGAGGGCAAGAACAGGAGCAGGGGAGGGAAATCAGGCCACTCTCAGTACTGGCCTAGGCCTCCAAGAGAACTTACAGGTACACAAAGCAGTTTCTTCATGGACTGTGTTCTGTGTACCTTCCCTCTTGAAATCTGCACAAGGCCATGGACTAGAAAGGCAGGTAGGTATTATCAATGAGGTTCAGTGTTAAGGGGAGACCTAGCGCAATGCACTCTCCCGTCCACCACAGCGACCCGGCCAGCTAAGGGCAAGCTGACATCTCTCTCAGGTGGCCCCCAGTCCCTCCGCAGGCCTCTGGGAAAAGGTGTGCTTGGCAGGGTGGGTGAAGAACAAAGTGAATCATCTTTCAAACCCAACCTGTTTCCAAGCTTGGCCACGATGAGAGACCCTCTGGGATCTCTCAGCTACTCCCAGGCAGAATCCACCTTGTCCTTATAACGATTCCAAAGCAGGTGTCTGCAGAGTCCAAACCAGGACCTGTGGGGATGCAGGTGAAGGGGCCTCTGCCCCAGAGGCGGGGTTATCCCTGACGGCCTCTGAGCCACCTGTGAGGACAGGGAGGATGCTGAGAAGCTGCTGGGCTCCTTCTTATGAGGTTCCTAAGGACAGGGACAGCTTGGAGGGGACAGGCACAGCTTCTAGGACGCAGCCCCACTCCGGGTCCTGCAATGAGCTGTGCTCCAGGGGCAGATCGAAATTACCAGAGAGCCTGAAAGCCCAGCGCCCCCTTCTGCATGCAACCTCGCCCCTTCCAGCTTCAGACTCATTCAAAAACCACAGCTTTTTGTTCAACAAAGGACAAAAATACTCCAACAAAAGCAACAAGGAACCTTTGGTTTTACCAAAAAGGGCGGGGGGGGAACAGTCCCGACATCCTGCCTCTGGAAGGAGCTGCTGATCCCCTGCTGGGAACACTGCCCACGGGCAGTGGGGAGGGCTCCTCCTAACCCAGTTTCTCACCAGTCCCCCAGGCCTGAGGGCTGAAGTGGTGGGGACAGGAAGCAACAAGGAGGCATTGTTTGACCAGAGGAAAATAATGAGCAGCCCAAAAGATCAAGGCTAGACGTGAAGAAGAACTTACCAGCCCTCAGGGGTTGGAGACAAAACTGTAAAATCAAAGCCAGCTACTGCCCCTGATGGCGACACATGAAAAGGAATGACTCTGCCAAGCTGGACAAGGCCTGGGAACACTGGGCCTCAGTCTCCCCCTCTATGAAGTGGGGGTATTAGGAGCGCTGGGATTCCTTGAGGCCCTGCCATCTCTGAGTGCAAGGGTTTGGAGGTGAGACTCAGGTGTGGCAGCTGCCTGGAGGTGCATCTGGCCGCTCTGGATGCCCTTTCCAACGCGCCTCCCCTGTCCCAGACACACGCGACACATACCCCCTCCCACTCCTGGTGCTACCCTGGCTCCCTGAGACATCTGATCCCATTTGCCCGATCAGAGGCAGAAAATCTGGGGAGGCAGGAAAGCCCCAGACCCCAGACCTGGAATTGCCCATTAATGCCCCATCCCCTAAGAGCAGCTGGGATTTAAGAGAGTTTGCTAGAATCCAGAGACACTTCGAGCACCCAGCTTCGCCGCACAGGCCCGGGCCACTCTCTGAGGCCTGGCTGAAGGCGCAGGACCGTAGTCCCTCATTCCCCAGAAGAAGGCACGTCTCCATCCTGCTCAGCCCCTCACCCCACAGCTCAAAGAAACTGAAAAATGGACCCCAGATATCTGCAGTCAGTGAAGAGGGGAAGGATACAATGGAGTACCCCCCTTTCTTGCTTGGCCCATGCCCACCCCCTAAGGGGACACTCCAAAAGTTGGTTCACCTCCAGGCCTGCAACTCCACCCCAGGCCTGCAGCCTCGGTTGAGTCATGGCCCCCAGAGAGGAGAGAGCAGCACATTTCTCCCCACCCCCCACCCTGACCCTGACCTCCAGACTCCTAGACTATTTTCATGAAAACAAAGCAGCAGGTTTGTAGTGCTGACATCTGTCCCACCTTCAGAAAATGTAGTTTACAAAACAAATAATCAAGGGTTGTAAATACCCCTCTAACCAAAATGGAGCAGACTTACCAACCTACCTAGAAGCTTCAAGAAAAAATTCAGTTAACTGGTTCTTCCACTGACTATTGTGCAAAAACAGGCATGCACGCCTGTACCTAGCCATAGCAACAAGGTCTGGCGGCCGTGGCCTGGGAAGTGTGAACTCGATCACACCCCATTCAGCCAACCCCCTGGCGCTTCTCCCCAGCCCTATGGCTGCAGTGTGTGCACCTGGACATGCACCAGGCCCACGTGGACGTGCATGGCCATGGGGAGCCACCACCACCCAGCAGGCCGGCTGTGAGCGCTGGCCTGTGTTCACCCGCTGTCTCACCCTAAAGCACGTCCAGTGTGAGGAGAGAAACAGAAGAGGCCTTTTGGCTGCTTACAGCCACTTTCCAGAACTTAAATTAGCCTTGAGATGCCACTGGGAAAAGATAGACAGGTTTCTTCTCTCTTGAGCAACCCCCCTGCGAGATCCTGGCTCAGGGTCTAGCCAGAGACAGGCAGAACCTGGAGGCCACCCCGCACACCAAACTCACACTCACTCACTGGGTGGGCCCAACTCCCTGGCCCAGTGCCCAGAGAGGCCACCTGCCTCTCTGGGTTCTGAGCGGGAGCGGCTGCTGAGAAGGAAACCAGGCCTGGCCCGCATAGCAAGGCCAGGAGGGGAATCAGGACAAAGCCATACCCTGGACACCCCAGGATTCGGAACTTGAATGTCACTGGAGGATGGGGCCAGAGGCGGGAAGAAAACAGGAAGGAATGACGGTGAGCACGCAGCACAGTCCGTGGCCCACAGCAGGCACTCAGTATCTTTTGGTGTCTGGTCCAGGGTAGGAAGTTTTAGCCATGGGGAACCCAAGGCTCAGACAGGCCTACAAACTGCTCTTTGCAGGCTGGGCCTGCTTCTGGTTTATCCTGGAACTTCCATGTCTGAATAGCTGGCATAACTGCCAACTGCTCAGCAGAAGCTGGCTGAGGGAGTGTGAATGCCTTGGGCAAGGTACTACTACAGCCGGAGTGAAACACCGCTGGACCACAAAGCCCCCACGTCTTCCCTACCCAGGTAACATCCCAGCTGAGCCCACGGTCAGCTGGGCATGGCACATGCCAAGTCTGTAAAGGCTGGGGGAACAGAGAAGGGTCAGCCCGCTTCTCTGGTTAGGGATCAGAAGACAGACGGGGAACCTCTGCCTAGGCAGGTCGAAAGTAGCATCCAAGGAGGGGCGCTTCATCTTCTGCCTCCCCTGGAGTCTTCAGTCAATGCAAGGAGCTCCTCACCCCGCTTTGCTTTCCGCAGCCTCCCCAGAAGAGGGTGAGAAAAGTAAGCTGAGATTTTGGCACTAGGCTGAGAACCTACAGAGAAAACAAGGACACGCCTCTGACTTCTTTCTCCAACTCCCAGTGCTCACTGAATTCTAGGCTACTGCAGTCTTAGGGAAGAGCTGTAATGAAGCATCAATCCCTGCCACCCACTAGGCTCGGGGCTCAGCCAGATTTCTACCTGGAGGGATGGAGGGTCAGAAGCTGCCCCCAAAGGAGCCTCGACGCCCAGAATTCAGCCTGAAGTGGTCCAGCAGTCAAGGGGTTAAAACCGCCCCAGCCTCTGGCTTTGCTGAACCCCACCCCACTCCCCAACAGAGGGAGGAAGTGGCAGAGAATCAGGGCTTGTGTGAGCCCTTAAGAATTCAAGGAATGTCCCATTTCCCTTGGGGGGGGTGGGAGGGACTGGGGGGTGGGGGAGAGGACCAGCTAATAGAAGAGAAGGAGCAGCTGAAGGGGGACCCTCCTTCCACCTCAGGCAACCTTCCCAGTGCCCCAAGCCCTCCCAGAAGGGATGATACACATGTTACTTCTTTAGTGTAAGATTTTATCAGAAATCTGTTTTTCCAGCACCTGGCACAGGTTGGCATATAGTAACCTGGCAGGCAATACACACCTAATGAATGAAAAAAAAAACACCCAAAAAAACGCCAAAGAGATGAGGCTGTGGTATTAGCAGGGGATTGGGGGTGAAAAAGGGAGAGGCAGCCTTTCCAGGAGGTTTAAGACCCCCCTCAACCCCTCTTAAACAAGTCCCAAAGTTCCCCCCTGGGAAAACTTCAGCTGCAAAGAGCCTCCCGACTGGGAATATAAAAAAATAAAATAAAACTGGACTCAGGTCGGATGGTGAATTGTCTTGAATGCTCATCTTTTCATCTCCTTGAAGTGACTTGACCTTCTGAAGCTCCTCCCCAGCAGGGTGGCGGTGAGGTCCTGCACGTGCCATGGACCGAGCCTGAGTCCGCACCACATCTACGCTTGCCAGGCACAAGAGGCCACCCTAAAGACGGAAGGTGTCCTACACTCTGGAATGGCACGGAAGGAGGGCCCCGCCCTACCTGCTTCCCTGCGGCGAGCCAAGCCACAGGCCCAGCGCGGAAGGAACAGAGTCTAGGCCAACTCCACCGGAAAAGCCTGGAGGTCCCCGTGGCCCCCCTCACGGACAGGGACCAGCTCTGTCCTGGGCCAGGCCACCCCTTCCTGCTGCCCCACTTCTCAAGAAATGAGCACCAGGAAGGGCTGCTGCCAGCAGCTCCCGGAGCCTAGTGCCCAGGCTCTGTGGCATGGAGCAGGTGAGACGAGACAGTCCACTGCTCTTATGGGGAGAGAGAGGACGAAAGGAGAAACAGAAAACACAACTAGGCAGGCACAGGGCAGGTCACTTTTTCTTGAAAGTAACCACACTGGAGCCATCCCTTGAAGCAGGGTGCAGTGGGAAGAACATGCCTTGTTTTACTGGGTTTGAGCTAGCTTCTCGCTAGACATGTAATCTTGAGAAAGTCCCTTCCCTTCCTCAAACCTGTTTCCTTCTCTGTGAAATGAGAATAGAACCTTTACTCCTCCAGCTGTGAGAGAAATAAATGTGACTGACAAGGAGGAAAGGTGAGGCAGGAGCCCAGAGACCCACCCAGCCCCCAGCCCGGGCCAGAACTCACGCGTTGCAGTAGGGCTTCTTCTCGTAGCCCTTGTAGTTCTTCATGTTGAGTGTCATCTTGCAGGTCTCGCAATGGAAGCATGCTTTATGCCAGAACTGGGGACAGAGGCAGAAGGAGGACACCCATCAGACGCTAGGACCTTAGGAAGGGGGCTCAGGCCCTAGGAAGGAGCGCTCCAGCTCCGCCCTGGGGAAGGGAACATAGAATCACCCTGGGTGAGCTGGGGACATCTCAGGTCACAGACTCTGGCAGCAGATGACACTCCCCCTACCCCTTCCCCACTGGTCAGCCATTTGAGCTGCGAGGAGGGGAGAAGGGCAGATGTGTACGGTGAGCGGAGAGGAAGCCAGTAATAGTAGTGGGGAGCTGTCCCCTGAAGCGCGGCTGCGCCTCCCCAGACCGCTCCTGCTGCCCCCAAGCCTGAGAAGCCTCATTGCTTATGCAAAGCTGTTGCAGGGTTGCTAAGAAGCCGCTGCTGAACCTGAGGGGCAGCTCCTCGGCCTTGACAGGCCTAGAGAAGGAGAGGAGGAGGGTCCAGCCCCTGAGCACCCCGGCCCAGCGCCCAGGCACTCCTCGCTCCCACCTCCACCAGGGGCTCCAGCTGCGGCACCTCCCCCTTGCTGTGGGACCCCGACCCGGGGCAGGGGAGGGTGCTCCAGCCCCAGCCGCCACCCTCACACCCTTCCATCACCTTCTACAGCCCCCACTCAGTAGGAGTGTGCCCAGCAGCTGGCCTCCCTGAGGCCCTGAGGAGCTCTGCTTAAAAGCCTTGGAAGGGGAAATGCGTAGTGGGCATCAAAGCTCCACCCTGACTAGCTAGGTGACCTCGGTCGGGGGCCGACACTTCTGAGCCATTTCCAGGTCTGTAGAAGGGAAATGATGCTTGTCCCTCTTGGGACTGTCGAGGATTCAAGGAGAAATCACCTGCAAAGCTCTCAGCACAGCACCTGGCACCTCTCAGTACCTGAACGTTAGATGCTGCAGACAGCAGATAGGGGCAAGAGGGCTCAGAGCCTCACCCTGGAGGTTTGTGTGCGTTGGGTGCGGGGGGGGGGGGCGCTCACTGTGCCCAGCCACAACTACAACACAGGTGAGGATCAGTGACAGGTAAGACCCTCCAGCAAAGCCAAGAAACCCAGAACAGAGCAACCAGGTCCCACCCAGTGTGGTCGATGAAGGGGAACAAGAGGGAAGGGGAAAGGATGCAACAGAACTGACCTCAGCCTAAGAAATGTGGACGCTGGGGCAAACCCACGTGAATGAGGCCCAAATTTACCCCTGGCGGCACAGGACGAGGCCCTGAGGCCTGCACTGACTGGGAGTCCAGCTTCCAGGGCTCCAGATCCAGGCGGCCTGGGTGACCCGACTGACCTGTCTCTGCCCCGGTTCCCAGGAGTCAAGGCACACACGCCTGACCCTCAGGAAGGAGGCCAGAAGCCGGGGAAAGGCCCAGGGACACGTTTGAAGGTGACCGGCACAGGGCTGGTTCTTGGCCATTTGACAAGGAATCCCCTCAAGGGAGTGCTTCTCAAAATGTCTTTCCCTGCCAAGGGTGCTTCCAGGACACTTTGGAGGAGGGGACAGAAAAAAGGAAGCTGGGAGGTTGGGCTACCACCTCCCTTACCTTGGCCCACTTCAACCAGGGACCATGGGGTAATTTGGGCGTAATTGCCTTCTAATAGGACACTTCCCCTGTCAAGAAGACCCAAAAGAATCTGCAACGGTAGGACAGTACATGAAACGATAGGAGAACCCCACTGTTTTGGGAAGAAGGCCAGCGGGAAGTCTGAAAGCAAAAGGATGGCTGGTCTAAGCTTGGCCCCTGCCCCAACCAGGGCCTATCCCAGCGCCCAGCCTAGACTCCTGGTGCCAAACCCCAACACATATAACCCATCAGAAAAACTGGACTAGGAGAGTCCCTGCCCCCGTCAGCCCTTCTCCCACCTCCAAGCCCGGGAGGCACTGGCAGAGCGCCCCAGCTCTGTCACCAGCCAGTCTGCTGGCCTCTGCCTGCTTAGTTGCACATGCCCCTGCCTGGGCCCCCACCTCCCCCAACCCCCGCCGGGGCCTGCCAGGAAAAACATTCTCTGGAATCCAGACCATGACCCACTTTCTCACTCACACACACACACACACACACACGCATCTGCAGGAATACACACTGTCCTAGGACTGGGGACCTCCAAAGCCGCCTCCTGATTGATTTGGGGGAGACAAAGGGAAGAAGACAAATACCGCTACCCTGGCCAATGGACAGGATCCTGCCCTGGAGCCAAGGCCAAGCCCCTTAGGGAAAGGGGCAGGGTATACTGACCAGGTTGGGGGTACGGGGCCAACACCCAACCCAGGAGTTCCACCAGACCCCTCCATGCTGCCGTTGGAAGGGAAACCCCCATACAAGCGGATGGTGTCTATTTCCATCCGTAGCTCTTTTCCACCTCAGCCTCAGAGACTCCTTGCTTTCAGCTAGATACACTCGAGTCTGGGGCAGTGGTCATCTGTTCCCTTCCAGGGGCTCAGGAGCAGAAGCATAAAAGCACAGGTGATCTGAGTGCCCTCAGCGTAACTGCTAAACTTGGTCTCTGTGGCTGTAAAGTGGAACTAAAATCAGGGTCCCACACAGCAGCTGGGAGGAGCAATGAGATGACTCACGCTCCAAGGCGGCTGCTTTAGGTCGCTTCCCTCGCTCTCTGGAGGATGGCTCCAAGGTTCAGGAAAATCCAGCAGCTCCTGCCACTGTGTCCCCCTTCCAGTAGGAAGGTGGACGGCAAGGAGGAGAGCAGAGGGTGAGCGACTCAACAGCCCCTGTGGGCCCAGCCTGGACTGGGCACCCGGAGGAAACCTCATCCTTGTCTCAGTCAGGTCTGCCTCTTTTCCCTGCCCCATAAGCCCTGTCCCTCTTTTCTTAAAGGCCCCAGTAAGATTTCAGAGAAGCATTCCCGAAACTCGGTTCTCCACACTGGGAGCAAAGTACATCTCTGGGCAGGCAACTCGAATCTTTCCCACTGCCCTGGAAGTCCGTTGTTGCCCTTTCACAAAAAAACAGACCTCCGGTGCCTGTTAGTACCCTCTCAGCCCACCTCCCAGGCTCCAGCTTCACCCTCCAGTCTCCCTTGCCTGCAGCTCCAGAGCTGAAGCCCAGTCTCCAGAAAACCCACTCCACAGAAGGGTAAACAGAGGCTGGTGGGGCAGAAGCAAGATCCCCTGCACTTGGGCAAGGCTTGGACAAGCTCCTAACTCTCTGTAATCATTGTAGCGGTGGGGGAGGGGCTGCTCATAGCTCTGGGTGAGGGAGATGCGGCCAGTTTCAGGTCACTGTGCCTGCAGCCTGGCATCTTGTCCTCTGCACCCAGGCTGCCTGGGTGGCCATGACTCAGGGTTAGAATATGAGACCTTCCTCTCCCTTCCTTGTCGCCCAAGGTTACAGTTTCTCCCTTCTTCAGGGGCAATGCCAGCCCCACCCTGGTTGGGTCACCAAGTTCAGTTGGCCACCTGGGCCGCTGGCTTAAAGTGACAGACCTTGGCCACACCTCCACAAATTCCCAGGGCGAGGTGGTTTATTCCTCCTACCCCGGCTCTAGGAAGGAGCATGCCTCAGGCCAGGGGCATGAAGGGCGGTCCCACTGTGGACACTAATGAGATAGTGTAAATAAAAGTACTGTTTTGCAAACATAACAGGCAGAAGAGCTAAACATGGAGAACTGCAGGTGTGAATTCCAGCTCTGACTGAGAGGGGAATGAGCCACATGAACTGTCTGAGCCTCTGTTTACGGGGTTCATCACTTAACAGGAGCAACCACATCTGTCGTGGGAGGCTGCTGCGAAGACTGAGCCTGGCATGTCGCAATAAGTAGCAGCTGCTGTGAATGGACGGCCACAGGTGATCGTGGGGTACTCTGAGCTTCAGCTAGGAAAAGGGGGCACCACAGTTGCAGGGACTTGTCTCTTTTTTATGTCCAGCCCTGCCTCCTTCTATCTTGCTGCCCCCTCTGGGAGTGAGAGGGCAGGAGAGGGGACAGCAACCAGAGGCCACGAGCCCTCCTAATGGGGGATACTCCAGGGACGCTGGAGCCCACCAGTCCTTTACCCTTCCAGAATGAACGTCTCTGCCTGTTTTCAGGGACCCAGAAAAGCAAGCCCAGGGAGAGGGACAAGATTCTTGACAACACAGTTCCCTAAATACAAATGCTTCCTAACAGGGGTGTAGGATAAATATCCACATCTATCAAAATGTAGGGGACATTTTGAGACACAGCCCCTCTCCCTCCGCAAAGGCCTGTGGCAACCCTCCAGAGTGCCTGGCACAAAGTAGGTACTCAATAAATATTTGCCTAATGAATAAGCCAATGAGGTCACCCTGTTTCTCCCCCAACTTTAATCCCAGAAGTCCTCTGGGGAAGGAAATCACCTTCCTCAAACACCGTCATCAGCAATACATATTTATTCAGCATGCAAAGCACACTGGGTACTGCAGGTTGGGGGCAGGGTGGCCATCAGAGGTGACATGGCCTTTACCCACCTAAGTCTTGTGAGAGATAAGCCTCAGGAAGAAGAAAAGGTTAACACCAAGGACATAGCTTCTGCTTTGTGTCAGCCTGTGAGCTAAGTGCCCTAGGGAAATCGTAGTGTAGTAAATGGGGTGGGTCTAATTTGACTCTCTCCTATTGTGAATGGAAAGCCTTGGGAAGTTGGTTAGCAACCTTGCCTATGGGACTGAAGGTTCCTCCCCGCAGGCTGCAGCCCTCGGGGCACCAGTTCCCCAGCAGGAAGTGCCAGTCCTTACTGCCTGGAGGAGGCTGGGAGGAGGGACTGATGGCAGGATATTCCCTGCCTCCTGCTCCTGCTCTGTGCAGGTAGTGAGGTCTCCCCAGGACCGCCTTCTATAGGAAGGGAAAGCTCTAAAAAGAGAGGGGAATCACCAACCCCACTTCCCAAGGCAACCCCTACCTGATTGACTCTTCAGCTAGGGCAAGAGGATAGCTAGCTGGGGAGGGTACCTTGCAGGATCTCCACCCTCCTCCGCAGGACACCTAAGTCCTTTACAAGTGGAGCCATGGTGTGGGGAGCATTCCAGAAAGGTAGGGAGCGCACAGCCTATACCATGTCCCCTTCAGTGCACTTTAGTGCACTGCCCCACCTCCAAGGAAATAACATCATCACTCATCTGACAGATGGTGAGAACTGAGGCCTAGAGTCATTCATAAAGCCAGCGGGAGCACACCTGGAACTGGACCATGTCTCCCAACTCCCAGGCTAGCAATCTCTCCATCATATATTGTTTCTGCCTTAGATGCGTGAAAGTACCCACAGTCTCCTCCCAATTCATGACTGTGGAGAAGGAGAGCACAGGGAACTCAAGGTAGAGAGGCCCAAATCCCTACCAGGGAAGGGCAAAAACACCAGTGTGCAAAGGCACAGAGTTCTTCCGTTAGTGCCTCCAAGCTCAGGTCCTGCCCTCCAGAGGCTGGCACAGTCTCCCATATCCTTTGTGTCCACAACACGGCACTCCTCTCCTCCTGTCTGGCCAAACCCCGGAGAGACAGTGAAACAGCAGTAGCCCCACATGCACTGTTCTTCCAGGAAGGCCAAATATCACTGAGGAAGCTCCAACCCCGAGGGGAAGGGCAGAAACAAGTATCCAATGAACTGTCTTTTTCCCAAACAAAACATGGCTTCAAGTGGGCCATGAACTTGGCCCCAGGGCTCTGCACCCCCCCTTCCATCCCTTGCTCCCCACACCCTGCCATTTCAGATGAGAAAGAGGGCATATTTGGACTTGGAGCCAGCTTTGGGAAGTGGGTGAAAGGCACGATGAGGAAGGGGACAAAAATCACAAAGGCCCCTCCTCCAGACTGGGGCAGGATGCAGAAGAACGGGCAGATTCTGCCTCGGGATCTAAGGGAGCTTAAAAGAGGACAGGATCCTACCCCAAACTGCTGGAAACACCCAATTCTACTCTCCACCCCCCTCGAAAAGTATAATGACAACCAGATGAACAAGTACAGCATAGGTGGGGGGGGGGCGGAGAAGGATGAATCGTAAGGGCCCTCAGGGGACAATGAATTTCCAGAAGGCCACCCTCCCCTCCCCCCAAACACCTCCCCCTTTTCTTGCCTTCCCCTGAACTCAGCCAACCCCACCCTCCATTGGGTAAACCTGCTTTGAAAAGTTAGCTCTTTGTTCTGCAAGCCGGTCTCCAGCTCTAAGCACAATTTCAGAAGATCTGTGCGAAGCACCCCCCATCCACCCTACTCCTGCATCCGACCCCGCCCCGCTCCGGCTGGGCAGCCCAGCACTGCGAGTTGGCCTCTCATTTGAGGTGGGGGCTGGGAAGCTACCATTAACCGGTGGTCCTTTAATCCCTGAACCATCAAGGGTACTACAGATCGTCCAAAAAAAGAGGTCTTGCAGTGGGGCTCAGGTCCTTATCCGCAACCCAGTTCACCAGATGCAACACTCGCCGGCTGATAGCCCCCGCCTCCAGTCTCCAGGCCAGGAAGCCCAGCCATTCGTGGCCAGAGCGGACAGTTTCGCTGGGCCCCCCAGCCTCTGCCCCGCCCCCGCCGCCCCCTCCCCGAGAGCCCCGCGCTTCCGCCTACTTGGCGCTCCGGGCGGTGGGGAGAAGGAGCGTCAGTCTCTCACTCTCTCGGCCTAGGGGGCGGGACTGCACCCCTAACCTCCCCCAGCCCCCACCCCTTGGCCTGGCTTCTCTACCCCTCTTCCGTTCTCCCAACCCCGTCGCACAGAGCCGGCTCTTCTCCAACAGTGGCTGCCTGCCACGCGTGGACTCCTCGCCTCGCCTCTGATCTCCTGGTTTCCAGACTGGGGTCTGTCCCCAACACTCCATGACACCGCCCTCTCCCAGGGATCGCGGGGATCGGGCGGCATAGACCCGGCCCCTCTCTCTTCCCCCAATCTGGGGCACTGCTAGAGAATGGCAAAGACGCGTCTCCCGGTCCCGGGGCTCACCTTATCCAGACAGTTCACCTTCTCGGTGGGGTACACGATTTTGCCGCACCGGGCGCAATTGGGATTCATGGCTACAGGAAAGCCTGGGGCGGGGACGCCCGAGCTCGCGCGCGTTCTCTTTCCCCGGAGCGAGCTGGCGGGAGACGGCAGCGGCTGCAACTACACAGGCGGCGGCGACCGCTGCTGGAGCTAGGGAACTGGCCTCCGCCTCCGCCCTCCTTCCCCTAATAAACACAGCGGGGAGGAGGGGCTGCACCGGGGCGGGGACGCGCCGCGGGCGCGGGCGCGGGCAAGGGCGCGTGCGGGCAGGCGCGCTCCTCGAGAGACTTGAGGCTGTGCGAGGGCGGGTTCCGGGTAGGGCTGTGGGGCCCGGGGTGCGCGCTTAGGTGCTCCCAAGCTGGAGGGCCCTTGAAGAGACGCCGGCTTCGCCCAGAGCCCTTCCCGCGCCGAAGGCGGCGCGGAGCTGATCTGGCCAAACATCTGGTGCGCCCCGGCTGAGGGAGGCGGGCAAACCTCTCGCATCCGTCGAGGGTGGGGTTGGAACCTTCTGAACGCCCGATCGGATTCACCAGATTCGGGGACTTTCCTTTGTACCCGTCCGTAGGAACTACGGACAGAATGGGAACCCCCTTGCCCCGCCCCTCGGTTAGCCTCCCTTCCCCCTCAAATCCTCTCCCACTTTTGTAGGGCGGAACCCGTCGCTCCCGCCTGTACTCAGCGCCTCGCAGCCCAAGGTTGTTCTTTCCCCCCCCCGGCGCCTTTGCTGCGCAGTTTTCCCGCGGTTCCCTGGATTCAAGCACTTTCCGCTTTCCTCTTGGCCCCCTCTCCTCCTTCTTTCCTTTCGCTCTACCCTTATCAACCACCTTGGTGTAGCAGTGTTCTAGTATCCAAAGAAATATCTCCGGGCGCCAAGGTGGCGCGGGGGTATAGCTCAGTGGTAGAGCATTTGACTGCAGATCAAGAGGTCCCTGGTTCAAATCCGGGTGCCCCCTGGCTGGTTTTTCTTCTTCGTAACCAATACATTTCCACCTTTCTTGACTCTTTTTATGTTAACATTGGGTCCTAGATTGAAAGAAAAGAGAAACGCTTTTTCAAAAATTCCTTTCTCATTTTCTAACCTGAGCGGAAAGCTTTCAGTTTTGCTTTGTACCTGGGTGGATATGCGCGCAAATCAGGTACAAAAGCTGCACTTCACGATAGCTGGCGCCAGAGGTATTGGAATTTCCCCGGCCGCGGGTTCCGGAGACAAAATGACTACCCCAAGTTGGCGTTCCTTTTCCGATAGGGGTGTGAGTAGGTCTAGAAAAAGAAACCCACAGACACAGCCTTCCTCCAACTTCAACTTTCTTTATTACCAGTGACATGAACTCGCTGTGTTCACCCTTCCCTGTGGCTCGTAACACAGGTAGACAGAGTCAAAGCACTTCTGAAAACGTTAAAATGCCCAATGCACAGACATAAACTCATTTTAATTTACAAAAATAAAGTTATCTGCTGATGCAAACTTACATAAAGTAATGCAGTGGCGCTCAGACTTGAGTGCATCAAAATTACCTACAGGGCTTGTTAAAACACCACCAGTTTCTGATTCTGTAGGCCTAGGGGGGGTCCCGAGAATTTGCATTTCTGGCAATTTCCCAAGTGATGTTGATGCTGCTGGTCAGGGGACCATACTCTGAGAACTGCTAAACTAGTAATACAAGTCTGTCGAGTTTCATAACCTAAAGGTAGGGAAAGATGTTTTTTGGTTGCGTCACTAACAGTAACAAAAAAGAACAAACCCGTAAACGTGAAGGGAGTAAGGGCCTCCCCTTCGACTAGGTTTGGCCCCAAAAAAGGGGAAGAAAAGGAGAGAGGGAGAGGCATGCTGCTTGGGTGAGGGGTCAGCTGCGATATTTTAAACCCGGAATCCAGTTGTGCCGTCCCTCAAGGTCCCAGGGGAATACTCCCGCGCATTTTTCCCCACGGCTCCCATTACTGTAAGATGCATCTTGAGGCTGGATATGGGCAGAGCTGCAGTCTTGGTACAAAAAGCCCAGACCCTAGATATAACCAACTTTTCACCCCCTGCCTGGACAGAAGCCCTCAAACTTACTACCTGTAGGTTATCAGGCCAAAGGTTTGTCTTTGAAATAATATGACGGAGAAAGCTGTACACGTTTCACCTTTTATATCTGTGTGTCTTGTTTAAATTTTACAATTTTATAAACCTGAATTTGGATTCATTCTTCTAGTCTAATAGGTCAGATATGAACTAGGCAAAATAACATTGCCCCGCCCATCTCCAAAGCCAATAGGCCTTGAACAGTTTCAAGGGATGGGAAGAGTTTGTCGCTTCCTTTCTGCCTATTCAGAGTGGAGGCGGGCTTCTCGCGACTGAGTAGGGGAAGACAGTTTAGAAGCCGTAAAGTTATCCGTGTGCACCTCTTGGTGGCTCCCTGTTTTTCACGGACAAGGACATGGGTCCCTGGAAACTGGAGACAGAGTTGGGTTATTGTGGGTTACACCTGAAAGACACTGAGAAAACGTGAAAGGCAGGTGAAGGGGGTATCGGGATTTGAATCGGAGACCTCTTGATCTGCAGTCAAATGCTCTGCCACTGAGCTATACCTCTTACTATGTGCTTTTTTTTTTTTTTTTTTTTTTTTTTTTTGCTAACAAGTATTTGGTAAATTCTTTTTACACCAATCCTAAATTTTTTTATGATGGAATTATCTATTTGTTCAAAATTAGATACTTCTCACTAAATGATACTGAATTTACTTATGATAAGAAACAAAATTAAAAGACCAGCTCAAAACATACTAACTTGGGTACCAATCCACTTTCTAGGCTAAATTCTTTATCCACAATCCCACCCACCAGCCAGTTTACCTTAAGGAGCAAAAGAACCACCTGTTGCAAAACTGCGTAGGGAATCCTTTCCCCCGTCTCCCTAAGAAGAACACAAACACATCTCTACTGAGAGACTTTTCCTGCCTATACTCTCTAGCAGGGGTGTCCAAACTATAAGCATCTCTGGGCCACACTGGAAGAAGCAGCATTGTCTTGGGCCACACATTAAATACACAGACACTAATGAAAACCGATGAGCACACACACACACAAAAAAAGGTTTTAAGGAAGTTTTCGGTTTTGTGTTGCGCTGCATTCATAGCCATCCTGGGCCCATGGGTTGGACACCCCTGCTAATGGTTCCCCTCTAGTTTTATGGAGCAACTACTATGTGCCCCACTCTAGTCACAGAACATACTTTCAATAGAAAGACACAAAACGTACTTTCCATAGAAAGACACAAAGGTTCTGACTCTGAGTTTAAAATCCAACGGAGACAGACTAGAAAGAAACGCGCAAGTGAATAAACAAGGAAATGCCCAGTAGCGATAAGGGAAATATTAAAATAAATTTAAAAACAAAAAACTACAGCAACAACAACAACAAAAAACCCACAAGATACTGCATTAGGAAGGTACCAGGAAGATGCTATTTCAAGTTGGAGAACCTTGAATCATGGAAGACCTTTCTGTGCAGGTGATTTTGGAGTTCAGACCTGAAGGGGGGGGGCGGGGGGCGGGGAGTGCGGCGGGAGCGGGGCGGGGCGAGGGGTGCCTTCCAGGTAGAAGAAATGGCTACTACAAAGGCCTTAGGGCCAGAGTGGCTAGAGGAGCTGCAGAGGGCCTTGTGCGCCAAGGTAATGAGTTTGGATATTACTCCAAATGGATGAAAAACCAGCAATGGATAATTTTGAGCAGAGGGATTTGAAATCATCTCCCACACTCCTGTGGAAAAGGGTGCTAGGGTGCCCGCATCGGCAGCACATATACTAAAACTGAAAGAGTAACGGAGAAGACTGTCATGGCCCCCGCACAAGGGTGACACCCAATTCATGAAGCATTCCATATATTTTATTCTTGCATTCTTTACCCTTCCATCACTGTATTGATTCTTTTTTATTTTATTTTTTAAAGTAACTTTAATTTTTTAATTTATTGGGTAGAAATCCACCCACTGATGCATTCATTGGTTGCTTCTTGTATGCGCCCTGACCCGGAATTGAGCCTGCAGCCTTGGTGTGTTGGGAAGATGATCCAAACCACTGAGCCACCCAGCCAGGGTTATTGATTAGTTACAAAAAAAAAATTAACCCCAATCACCGCTTCACTTCATCTCTACAAAGTGTTCATAGCAAAACATGTTTGATCTGTTTTCAGTTTCTTGAAAAATTAAGTTGTCCTCCATCAAAAAAAGGAAAAAGATTTATAAGAAGTAAAAAATAGACATGGAGAATACATACAGTAGAATATTACCCTTAAAAAGATCTTGCAATATGTGACAGCATGGTATATTGTGCAGCATGGAATAAGCCAATCATGTAACAAAAGGATAAATACTGCACTATTCCCCTTACATGAGGTGTTTGAAACAGCTAAATTCATAGAGGCAGAGAGTGGAATTGTGGTTGCCAGGGAAAAGGAAAGGGAAATGGATCGTTGTTAATCAATGGGTATAAAGTTTAAATTTTGCAATATGAGTGAGTTCTAGAGATCTGCTGTACAACACTGTCCCTGTCGTTAACACTATTGTATTGTACACTTACAAATCTGTTAAGAGGGTAGATGTCATGTTGAGTGTTCTTTTCACGATAAAAGGGAAGAGTGAGCATAGGGAGACAGGTTAGGATTCTTTTGAAAGAGATGGTGGTGATGTAAACTACAGTGGTGTATTAGTTTCATATTGCTGCTGTAACAAATTACCACACATTTACTTGCTTAAAACAATACATATGTATTATCCAAAAACAACTTCACTGGGCGAAAATCAAAGTGTTGGCATGCTTGCGGTCCTTCTGGAGGCTTTAGGAGGGAGTCAGTTTTCTTGACTTTTGTAGTTACTAGAGGGTGCCTGCCCTTTTTGACTCATGGCCCCTTCCTCCATCTACAAATCCAGGAGAGCATCTTCTCGCCCTCTAGTCTCTGCTTCCACTCTTACATCTTCTCTCTGTCTCTGACTCTGATCCTCCTGCCTCCCTCTCACTAGGACCGTTTGTGATTACATTGAGCTCACCCAGATAATCCAGAATAATCTCCCCATTTTAAGATCCTTAATTTAATCACATCTGCAAAGTCCTTTTTATCATGTAAGGTAGTATATTCACAAGGGGACTGGGAAATGTATGGGGGGCCACTATGTAGCCTACCCCAGGCGGCAGCAGAGCTGGGGAGCAGCGCCAGCACCTGGATTAACCGGGCCTGGAGCCGTGCGCTTCAGGTGCATTAGGTAGCTTGGAGGCGATGAGGGGACGAGAAGAATCAAGAATGACTCTTATTTTTTGTCTTCACTCTCTGAGAGGATGGTGACATGATTTCCTGACATAAAAAAGACTGGAAAAGGAGCACATTTAGGAAAAAGAAAATCAAGAGTTGTTGTTTTTTAAACTTTTAAATAGATAGTAATAAAGCACAACTTCCTATCCTCATGGACTTCACATTCTAGGATGCGATCAGTGTGTTAAGTTTGAGGTACCCCATCGACATTCAAGAGGAGGTGTTAAGTATGCATTTAGAGATCTGGTTAATTCTGGAATTCAGGGAGAGGTCCAGGTTGGAAACAAATTTTAGAGAGTCATCAGAGTATAGTTGGTTGTTGGTGAAGGAGGTAGTTGATTCCAGAAGTGTGGTAGATTTAGTTCATACCTGCTAGTGAGAACTGATGGTTAAATTTTCAGGAATTTTTTAAAGCCAGTTCACGTCTCTTAAGTAGCTTATCAGCGGGTGGGAGTATTTGCACCTTGGGAAATTACATCCCCAAAGCCGGTCTTTTGAGCCATTTGCCAGCACACCACTGCTTCTGACTGATTCTAACTTCCTCCAAGAAGAAAGAGGCAAGCTCTTCAGCTAAGAGAGTGAGGAAGGGAGAAGAGGTCTGGAGAGTTTGAGACAGGAGAATGTATATGTAATGGTCATTTTGGAGAATGAGGAAATGAAACTCGTCAGTCAGCGGTGTAGGAGTACTGGACAGAGAGCCTGGCTGAGATTGCAAGAGTGACACAGATATGTAAGCTTTCCTCCAACAACATTCCGCTGCTTTGGGTGCAGGCTTGTAATCAGGTAGTTGAGTTTAACTAAGATTGTGCTTTGGCCGTTAAGTACAGCACAGGGCTTACGGTGATCCAGGCACTGTGCCAGCTACTGTGGGGAATACAAAAAAGAATGCAGCATGCTCCTACCCTCAAGGAACTTAAAGTCTAGTTGGAGAAACAATGTATACATATCAAGGGGAGAAAATAACTGACAAAGCCAATGCGGGGAGTAGCAGAACTGCAGGAAAAGGTAGTAGGTAATGGGAAAAATGAAGTAGAGACTTTCTTTAAAATCGGAATGGGAAAAAAGAAATGGACAGGAAATTTTTTAAAGGATTTTGTTGAAGGTTTTATTTATTCTTTAGAGAGAGGAGAAGGGCGGGAGAAAGAGGAAGAGAAACATCGACTGGTTGCGTGTTGCCTCTCACAAGCCCCCAACCAGGGACTCGGCCTGCATCCCAGGCAGGTGCCCTGACTAGGGGGAATCCAGCCGGCGACCTTTCCGTTTGCAGGCCCAGCGCTGAACCCACTGAACCACACCAGCCGGGGTGGATTGTTTTCTTGGTTTTCTGTTTTCTAATTTAGGAGAAGCCTGTTGATATTTGAAGGACCCAAGGAAGAGGAGGAAGGGACTGAAGATACTGGATAGAATGGAGAAAATGGGGGCGCCTCTGGTACAGGAGCAGAGAGGGTCTTGGGAAAGACAAGGGAAGCACTTCCTCTCTCATGCAAAGTCCTGGGCTGCAGCTCAGGTTGCAGGCAGGCAAGATGGAAATTAATCTTGAAGAATTCCCAGATGCCAGAGGTAGAAAAGGCTGTAGTTAATGTCAGAAAGGAATACCATCCCACACACCCACAGGACCTTCAGGCATGGGTCCAAGAGGACTTTGCTCTTTTCTTTCAGAACTTGGGTCCTCATTGCTTCTTCAATCTTGTTTTAGTTCTTTAGTATCTCCTCGGGAAGCTTGAAGCAGTTGATCACAAGTACTAAACTGCTTTTAATCAGCTGAGACACGTCTGGTCAGTAGACAGTACAATTAAGCTGTAATCTCAACCTTCCCAGCAGAGGGGGTATAGCTCAGGGGTAGAGCATTTGACTGCAGATCAAGAGGTCCCCGGTTCAAATCCGGGTGCCCCCTGGTGGTCTCACTTTTAAGCATTACCAGCCACCAAGATGGTCACAAGTACAGACAACCTAAACCAAAGAATGGTGTCTCCTAGGTGGACTTTACACTCCAGCACCAGGCTCAATTTGCAAGTAAAAGGATTACTGTACAATGTGATATCCCCAACTTTTCAGATGTCCTTTAGGTCAGTGGTTCTCAAAGTGTGTGGGGACCCTTGGGGTGCTTCTGAGATCCTTGCGGATAGGACAAAGGGAGAGTCTTCATAATACTACATCACTTACCCATTTCACTGTAGTTCTTTCATGGGTGTACATGGAGCTTTTCTGAGGCTACAGTGGTGTGCTATCCCAACAGTTGAAATGTGGAAACATGAAAATCCAGCTGCCTATCATTCCCAGATATTAAAGGGATTTCCAAAAGCAGGTAAAACGAAGCCATTCTTCTCATCAATCTATTTTCATTTGGGAAAACGTAGCTATTTTTCAGAGTTATTATTTCAAATGAATTAACAAATAATTAAACATTCACAATTTTAATTTCTAATCTGATAGATGCCAGTAGGTATAACCTAATATACAACAAAAACTTTTGGGGATCCTCAAAAATTTAAGAATGTACAGTAGTCTTCAGAAAAAAATATTTGAGAACCACTGCTCAAGTGGTGTTGAGCGCAGAGAATGTTGGGGTTGTGACATGGCACAGGAAAAGATAGCATTTGAACAGAGTTTTACAGAACAAGTAGTGGATAAATCCGAAAGAGCCCACAAACCCTAAGCAGTTTGGTATTGGAGTGTGAAGCGTAAGAGGCAAGGTGACAGGAGATGAGGCCAAGGAGAAGATAGGTCATCTCCGGAAAGGCTCTAGTGCTATTCTAAGGATCTTGAACTTTATAAGCACTAGAAAGTCAACACAGATTATGGTCAGACCGTTCAGAGGCTGTTACAATAGCCTCTAAAAGGCAGATCTTTGCATAGAAAAACCTAGGAAGTAGAACCAAGTCAGGGGACCTCGGTGATTAGGTCTGGAGCCTGAGGGAAGAGGAGAATGAATCGTATCCCTGTTTTCTGGTTTAGACATTGGTGGTAGCACCAATCAAGAAAATACAGGCAGAAGAGCATGTTTTCTGAGAAAAGCATGATTTCTGTTTTGGACAACTTCGGTTAGAAGTGCCTGTAGGGTGAAGGTGTCCCAATCATCAGTTTATATGCAAATGCCCCTTGACTAAAAATGGGGTTACCTTCAGATAAACCCATCACAAGCTGAAAATATTGTAAGTAAAAAGTGCATTTAGCCCTGGGCATTGTGACTCTGTGGATTGAGTGCTGGCCTGCGAACTGAAAACTCACCAGTTTGATTCCCAGTCAGGGTACATGCCTGGGCTGTGGGCCAGGTCTCCAAGTTGGGGGTGTGCGAGAGGCAACCAATACATGTTTCTCTCTCACATCCATGTTTATCTCCCTCTCTTTCTCCCTCTTTTCTCCTCTCTCTAAAAACAAAATAAAATATTTAAAAAATAAAATAAAATAAAAATGTAATAAGCAGTATTAAGGAAAAATGCCTTGCATTAAGAAGGCTTATAATATAGGAATTTGACCTGGTATGGGGGGCAGGGTAGATTTCTCTAAGAAAGAGACATTTAAGTCGGGATCTGAAATATCAGTAGACTTGAAATACATGGTAAAGGTAGGCAGTGTAGGCTA